CACACACACACACCAGAAGATATTCTGGGATGACAGTCCAAGAAGTGTCTTCCTGCTGTGCTAAAAGTATTCATGATATAAATGCCAGCACACAATTCAAAATAAAGCGCGAGGTTGGAATCCTCATTTACTGAAACAGGGTCTCAGAAGTTGGATCCCTTCAGTGTTTCTTTTAAATACCTGTTGTTGCCTTAGTAAAACATTCCTGTCACAGAAACTCAAAAGGTTCGGAAGGCTCTGTGGCAAAGAGTCTGTCTCCTGGGTCTGCCCCAGCTACCAGCACTCCTCCCCAGAGATAAGCAGTAGCATCAGCCTTTGGGGTGTCTTTAAAAAGATCCTGAGAGAGATGGCTGGACTGCTGTGGTGTGTGTGTGTGTGTGTGTGTGTGTGTGTGTGTGTAACAGGTGCCAAGTAGGGAACAGAGCTGTCTTCAGTATGAGCTACCTTGACTCTACGCAGGTCTCAGAGGTTTAGGGTCTGATAGGAAGGCTTGCTTGATGTGGGAGATCAAGTCTGGCACTGACTAGAAGAAAGAATTGCTGCCATGTGTCTAGGCTGCATTCAAAAGGATGGGTAATGATTCACAGTGTGTATGCCCCATCATGGGGGCACATGCTGAGAACATTCAGTCTTTGACAGGAGCACTTCGCTAAGCGAAATGCATGGCCATAGTTTTGCATTATTTTGACTAGAAACAGTAGTGTTTATTAAAACTTTTTCTTCTTAAAAGAAATACTGACACCAGCATGAAAAAATCATAGCATGATTTTTATATCTCCAAAGCCAAAGCTATTTCCCTGCTGGAATGCAACTCTAATGATGTTATATAAATTAATGGAAAAATAGCATTAGACATTTGTTTTACTGCCAACTCTTAAAGACTACTTGAACAAGGCTTGTTTATTTTGGTAGTATGAATATTTAATTTTCCTTATCTGAATGATAGTTTAAAGAGTGTTAATCAATACATTAAAAAAATCTTTTTTTTGGGGGGTTGGTTTTTTTGAGACAGGGTTTCTCTGTTTATCTCCACAACATGAGCTGTTACCACCTCAAAACTTGCCTAACCTGCATCTATTAGCATTTACTTAAACAATAAAAATATCAACAAATTATTTAATAAAACACAAGTCTAGCCCAAATTTCCTCAGAGAGTAAATAGCCAATAGACATTTGGAGGTGAAAAAAAAAAATTCTGGAAGAGGAAGGTTGAGTTAGGAGTCGCCAGCCAGACATAGAGGAAACGAGATGTGAAGGCAGAACTGAGAAACGGTACCAAGCCACGTGGCTAAACATAAATAAGAATTACCGGTTAATTTAGATATAAGAGCTAGTCAGTAATAAGCCTGAGCTAATGGCCAAGCAGTTACAATATTTAAAAAAGAAGAAAAAATCCCATCAAAAAGAAAAATGAACTACCAGTCTTAATTCAAGAGTGTCACTAGCCAAGGCAGGGACAGTCAAAGCTCCTTAGGACATACTATGGAACGCACACCTGTGGATATATCAGAAGGCAGCTTCACATCTGGAGGGCAATACAAGGCACAGAGACAACTGAGCACTGATTTACAAAAGCCAAGTTCGTGTGCGCTTTTGAATCATCCACAGAAAGAAGCGCCTAATGGATTAACGCTGTAAGGGTGAAAACAGTTGAAAACCATGGTTTTACATTCTTGGCTGTCTTCCATAAAGCACAGAAAAACAACAACAATAAAACAAAAAAGTAACATAGAAAGATTTCAGCGCACAGATATTACACAAAAGATGGTGAAAAGCTAGCAGCAGGTTGGGAGAACTACTGGGCACCAATCGCTCGGATTTTACTAATCCACATAAAAAACACAGGCAATCCAACAGAACATTTATGAAGGTTTGAATACAAAAGTCAAACAATAAAAAAAGTGTCAATAAAGATGAGGGAAGCTGCCCAACCATATGGAAATCAGTCAGTGTACTACTACTTATACTGTCCAACAGGAACCTTGTAGTCACTTGTCTACCCAACTGTTGAGGGTGACTGAGTGTCCAGCATCCTCACTAACTGCGAGTCAATAAACTAACGGCCCTTTGTGGAAGACGACAGAGAAGAATCTTTGAAAAGTTATACAACACATGAATCCAGTGATCCAGGAAATGCAGTCAGTGGGGCAACCACAGAAATACTGGCACATGTACACAGACATAAGCAGGACTTAGTGTTGACAGTGAAAAGCCGAAGTGTCATAAACAGCCTGCAGTACCCGTTCAGTAGTGTGCGGCACACTATCTGTGGGACATCACAGTCATGGAGATGAGGGCCGTCCATAAACATCACAGAGAAAGAGAGACTTTCTATGTGCTGTATGTGAATGAGAGGGTGTGTAGACGTAGTTCGTACATACAAGTATATTATATATGGACATATTTGAAAATGCACAGGGAAAGAAATGCCTAGAAGTATATACCTCAACCTTTAATTAGCTCTTCCCTGTGGGAGTAAAGACGAGGGTGAAAACTAAGGAGGGGATTCATCTTTATTGATAAACTTTTGCACTATTTAAATGCCTAATTAAAATGCATCATTTTGTATATAAAAGACTGAAAAGGAAATGGCCCTGACATCTCCTATGGCTAATTTTACTGAATTTGCTTAGAGAACCCAACCGAAAGGAAGCCTTCTAGCATAAATACTACTCAGAGAATTAGAACTACAAAATTTAATTAAATTTAACTAACTCAAACTACAAAATTAGAATTATAAAATGCACGTTTTCTTGCTTATTTTCTGCTGTAATTTATTCTCGCCTCATGATATCAGATGGGGATAAAGTCACCAGCTCTTACGACTTAGAGGAAAGTTTTGTAGAAGGAAAACTGACTTGAATGACCAAGTGGGATGAGTGAAGATAGGAGGGCAGTTCAGGGGCCAAGACTCAGCTACCCAGACATACACCATTTCCCCAATTTCCTGACATCCCCAGCCAGTTCTGTGTCCTCAGAAATATCCTGTCTCCTTTTTATGATCAACTTTCCAGAAGAAGTAAAACTTGAGGTGTCACATTTTAACATGAACTTTTCCTGACCCCAGCTGTGGCAGGGAGGGTATAGGTCCAGCATGTTATAGATCCAAGAGTGGATTGCCATTGGGGAGCCCTCCAACAGAGATCAATGATACATTCAGGACATATATTGGCAAATGCAAACAAGGAGGACCACATGAAGAAGAACCATCCTAAGATGGAGGGAGTCTCTTTGCCACACCAGACCTTTCTACATGAGGAACGGCTGTGGTAATAGGGGCCCACCACACACTCCACATGAAGTACTTGCTATGAAATAATGAAGTTTTACCTGAATTTCCTTTGCCTTGTGACAAGTTTCCCTATATAAAACTGCACCTTGACCACTGGGAACCACTGAATGGCTAGGAGCATGGTATTTGGCTGCTCTACTGAGGCTGTCTCTAGATGAGGGCAATGCATCAGTGTTTGTGTTCTGAAAGACAGAGAACCTTGTCTTCATGCATTAATTTGTCCTGGAATTTTTTATCAATCCAATTGTGTGTGTGTGTGTGTGTGTGTGTGTGTGTGTGTGTGTGTGTGTGTGTGTGTATGAGTTTGTGCACATGTATGTGCAAGTGTTTGCTGAGGTCAGAGGAGACAGGATTTCTCATTGAATCTGGAGCTCAAGTCTGCATCTCCTGGTCCTACACCTCCCCACCACATAAGCTAGCAGATAGCAAGCCGCAAAGATCCTCCTGTGTCTGCCCCCACAGCACCGCAGTTAGAGGCTGATGTGGTCACGCCAGGCTGTATGCATGGGTGCTGAAGATCCAAACTCAGACCCTCACGCTTGTGTGGAAAGTCCTCTTACCCACAGAGCTATCACCTCAGCTCCTCAATTTGGATTCTAAAAATTTAATTTCTGTGCAAAATTTTAGGAATACATCTGTTCTATAAGGCATATGTGTATGAGATGTAAATAAATACAACAGCTGTCACATCTGGAAATGAGACAACATGAGCACTCAGGACCCCCTTTCAGTTTCCATCCTTTGTAAAACCAAAGGGCAGCGGGAAGAAAAACCATCAAATCAGTTGTGAAAGTTTGGATCTTAGGTGCCCATGTGCTAAAGTCCTGGTTCTCAGCTTGCCTCCACTGGGAATGCTGTTAACTTTATGGGTGGGGCCTAGTGTGAGACTTTGCAGTCACTGCGAGTGTGCCTGCCAGGGGGATGGGGCCCATGTCTCTTCCTCTTCCGTATTCTCACTCCTGGGGCCACAGCAGGAATGAACTGAGTTCCCATGTGCTGCCACTGTAATGTATAGCTTTATCATGCGCCCCAAAGCAGTAGAAACAACCAAATATGCCCCGGAATCTCTGAATCTGTGAGTCAAAGGAAGGCTTCCTTCTTGACAGGTTGACTACCCCAGGGATTGTTGATTGTCACAGTCGTGACTTGGGGAGCCAATCCAAACTGGATTCCCATGATAAGATCTAGCTCCTGAAAAATTCAGTTTCTACCCCAAGTCTTGTCCAGTGAGCCAGAAGTGATGCGATGTGCCCGCACTGCCTACCACTAGTACCTGTGTGGGGCACAGAACTTGCGACATCAGTTTCAGAGCAGATGTTTTTTTGGCCCAAAAAGGAAACTGAAAAGACAACAATCACATAGGCCTTCAGAATGATCTGCACCTCACTGAAAGAAAAAAAAATTAAGACCTCACTGTAGAATTTTCTTTTTTCAGTGAGATTAGTTTAGGTGCTCTTTAAAGACAACTGAGCCAATCAGGAAGGCCTAGACACTGATAATCTGATCCAGCCATATCTTTAAATCTGCCACCCGGACTCTAGATTACCAAAAGAACAAAGAAAGACAAACACGAGGGAAGCAGAAACCTTCATTAGATGATATTTCTGCCAAACCACATTAAAAAATTAAATTACTACGCAGTACACCCGCCATGAAATTTACTGTTTTGAGTATTCTCAATCTGCAAGCCTGGGTCTTGTCTACCTACCTTGTAAACTGTCGACTCTCTTCGTGAACTTCCATTTCTGTGCTTTTGAATTCATTGAGTTCTTTTCTTATTGCTGCCTAAACAGGAGAAAATGAAGCAGAATTTAGGTCATATATCTTCCTAACGTATACAGCATCCATGAGGCAGATATATTCTTCTGTGACATAATATTTTGGGAAGAGGAAAGAATTACTAATATATCTCAGATTCAGATTTAATAAATGAAATATGTTACAGTCTGAGCACCCCTGATAGAAAAATCCGAAATTAGAAGATCTTCAAAACTTGAAATATTCTGAGTATTAATGTGAGCCACAAGTGGAAAATTCCATACCTGACCTCCTGCGATGGTTGCAACATGGAAGTATGATAAAAATGTGTAAAATGATCTTCAGGAGATGTGTGTGCAGTGTGTAGGAACGTGGATGAATTCTTTTAGAGCAGGCCTGGGGACTGAACCCAGGTCTCACGCATACTAGGCAAGCACTCTACCATTGAGCTAGACTCCTGGCCCTATAAATGCATTTTGTGTGTGGACAGGGTCCTCATCCTTCAGCTTTCTCATTTCAAATATCCCAAATTCTAGAAGTACTCCCAACCCATAAACACCTTGGGTGGCAAGCATTTCAGAGGAGGGACAGTCATGCAAAAGCCAATCTGAAGCCAGCTTGGTCTCCCTGAGAGTATCCTTCCTTGGTGGGGATGGCGGCAGTAGGGTGTAGAATGTGTATCATGCAGAATGTCTCCCCACTCTCTGATGACTACAGCATGGGGTTTTTCAGAGCATCTATATCCTGTTCCTAGGAAAGTTTTACATTGAAGCCCGTCCGCCTGCCCGCCCGCCACAGTGAAAGAGCTTTGACTCGCTGCCATAGCAATATACCAAGTAGGCAGTTGCTATTTATTTTTTTATGTTGAAAGTTTAGACAAACGGCTGAAAATTCAGCACAGCATTTAAAGCCACTCAGAGAAACATCAAATAGGAGGCCTTATTTAAGGAACACAGAAACCATGCCATGTACAACAAAATGCTTATGCATGCAGACTGGAAAGCTGAAACACCCCTCCAAATGCTAACTTTGGCTGTCTGTTAACAGACAGTGGCAGGATTATGCATGGGTTTAGTTTCAATTTTTGCCTTATTTTTATTTCCTACTTTTTTTTCTACAAAGGGTATTTCACTCATATAAAAAGTACTAAAAAAATCTTTAAGCTCTATGTAGATTACACTATTCAGACCAAACACAGAACTTTCTATTTTTTATGCAAAGAATGCTTTCCTTCATATAAGAGGAAAAGTAGGAATAAAACACCCTTATGACATCTAAGGGACTGGCTCCAGATAAACACAGAATGTCAAAATAAACCCCAGGAAGTGCCTTCCCAGAAAGATAGGAGAATCTACTGTGCGGTTGGAAGTCAATGAACTTCAGGGAAAGGGAAAAGATAGGAGAAATCCCCGAGACCTCTTCATGGCTCTCTCCCATCATTAACCATCACTCTGCAGGTCATAGGCTTCCCTTCCTAAGTATATTTTAATGCGATAATTAAACTCTGTTGTCACAGACTGTCTCCTCTCCCCAGATATATTCTTTAGGTCTGGAAGTCTCTTTGGGGGAACCTATGAACAATGGTCATAATTCTTATTGCTAACTTTTGGAAGTGCCAAAGCAGAGACCTGTTTGTGGGCCTGAGTCCCCCATGGCACAGTAATGCAGCATGTTTCACAAGACACGACAACGTGGACACTTGGTTTTGGTCATAGTAACAACTGGCTCTGGATCCAGGAGCTGGACAGTTGCTCGAATAAAGATCTAGAAAAAGTTCCTCCTTGGAAAGAAGTGTTTCAATGTGAACAGGGGCACAGAATTCCATCTCTGTGTTCGTTGAAACTTTCTTCTTCCCACAAAAGGTTTCAGCAGAGGCCGTGTGAAGCACTTTAGCTAGACTCAGAAGCCATGGGTGTTGGTCTTGGTTATGTTTCCCATGGCAGTATGATGTTCATGGAGGAACTTCCCCCTCCAGCTACAGCCTTCCTACTGCTATGGTTGGATGATTGCTCTCTGGAGGTCCATGTAGCAAGACCCATTGTCCAGGGAGGTATTATTAGAGGTGCTGTGAACACTTTAGAGGTGAGACCTTATGAGGGACATGACTTTAGGTCATTCAGGGCATGCCCCTGAAGAGATTATGGGACTATGGTCTACCTTCTCTTTGCTCTTTTGACTCAGGATATAAATGGCTTGACTCACCATGTGCTCCCCACTCCAACCATATGAAACCCATTCCTTAGACCTTCATTACTTAGACCCTTGTATCCAGAACCGTGAATCAAACTTTGTCTATAAGTTAACTGTTTGGGGTATTTTTTTTTTTCAGTAACAGAAAGCCAGATAATCTTCCCACTTAGGAATGAAAATTCATGATACAATTAAGAATATTAGTTCAAAGTGTATTTTTAAAAATGTGCTGAATACTGTAGTATTACCAATAAAATATCATGAAGTTTTAGAAGAGTACATTATTTGGGCTTGTGACTAACAACTCTTTCATTTTTATCACAGAAAATCCACTGGAAAGCAAGAGGACAGTGTTGAAGGAGAGCTGACTATAAATAAGATGAAGGATTTACTGGTAATAGAGGGCTGGCTACCAGTGGAAGAGTCTGGCGAAATCCAGGAAAAACATTCAGAGAGAAACACTTGGGACACGGAGTTTATAAATCACTACAACTACAAACTGTGCCCCGCTCCACACAGTATTTATATTAATAAGACTTATAACCCTCTAGTGCCCACATCCCCTCACGTACACGGCTTTCCTCAGAAAGCCAGTTAGACACTCCTGGGCACATACAATTTTCTCCTCTGCAATGCCATGTTGTCACTGCCTTCTGATGATGGGGTGTCTGTTGCTTCAGTTTTGACTCTGGGGAAACCGTGTCACCACTTTGAACAAGGAAACACAGTAAGGTGTCATGTTACTACGCCAGTCTAACGTGAGCTTGTTTCTGGCCCAGGAACATTTGCTACCTGGAAGCCGGCTGCCACATGAAACACACCCGATTGCCCTGAGCAAGCTGCAGGATGAGAGGCCCCAACACAAAGACAGACTTCAGAGGACGAGATGCCATGTAGACAGAGGTCACGGAACAGGAGAGCATACACACACTCATGAAGAAACTGCTTTGGAAGTGGCTTCTCGAGGCCCCAGCATCTCACCAATGCCATGTGGGCCTGAAATAAACCCCTGGGTTGATATGTTCCAGAATTCCTACCTCACAAACTTGTAAATGCTATCTAGACATCACTGATTTAAGCCAGTAGCTTTGGGCTAGTTTGCTACAAGGCAGTTGATAACCTAAACAGTATTCTAAGTTGACACAGAGGCCAGAGGGGTCTTGCGATCTACTGGATATCAAACGTGCCTTAAGTGATTATGATGGAGCCACCCATAAGCCTACAAGTCTTACATATAGACAGCCAATAAAATGGGCTTTGGGGCCGGGCGGTGGTGGCGCACGCCTTTAATCCCAGCACTCGGGAGGCAGAGCCAGGCGGATCTCTGTGAGTTCGAGTCCAGCCTGGGCTACCAAGTGAGTTCCAGGAAAGGCGCAAAGCTACACAGAGAAACCCTGTCTCGAAAAACCAAAAAAAAACAAAAAACCAAAAAAAAAAAAAAAATGGGCTTTGGGGCCCCGCTAATCCAGATGACCTCATTTCCATGTGTAGAAGTGACAAGTCAGTTGTATGTAATGACATGGTGGGAAGTGTGGCACTATGGGGAAGACATACTTGTCTGATTATGGGGACAGTACTCACTTTCAAAATCTACTCAATAAGGACCTCCTTTTAGTCTAACAGTTACTACTTTAGGCAAAAAGGAAGAGTTCTTAGGGGTTCAAAGGAGGAAAAAGGAAACCTTTTATATTGATCAGGTACACAGGTTATAAACATAGCTTTTGTTCTTACTTTTTTCCCCTTTCAGATGAGACTCGATTTTAGGCCTAATAACTCTCTATCTACATGTAACTGGGGCTGGTTTTGTTGAAAGACAAGACAGATGGGCTGAGGCAGTGGGATTGGAGCCAGTGGTGCTGGGTTGGACCACCTCAGGGAAACCATTCAGTTGCATTTAGTTTCTAAGAAAACTGAGGCAACGACAACCCCAAATGCCAGGGGTTTGCACTGCGACCACATGGATAGTGGTGTTTGGTATCATGGAAATTAAACACAGGACACAAAAATGACTAAAACTAAGTTTAAGTTTGGCTAATGGCGAGTAACCACATTCATTCCCCATCTGATCAGCCGTGGTCAGTTCAGGGGCACTTCTTGGCAAGAAACAACAGGCAATTTGCTGAAAAAAACACACGGCTCTTGCAGCCATCTCACACGTGACAGCATGGGTTGTGAGTGGAGAATTAGCTCGAGCTTCCATTCACTATCTTTTGTTTATTTTGTTGCTAAAATGCTGGTATCAAGGAGGGGATTGCTGGCTGACTCATTAAGCTCGATGTTATGGGGAGTGAAGTGTGTGCATCCCGTGAGCCAACTCATGACATTCTACAGAGAATTCAAATCGCAGTCTTCCCAAGGAGCTGGCTAGACAGTGTGTTCCTGGCAAGGCGGTTTTCATCTTCATGCCCCTTGGAGGATATTGTTAAGAGTTGTAATAAACAAGGCAGAATCCACGTATCACCAGGAAACAGTCTGTGTTCTGGCTCACTAGAAATTTTTAAATTTTTTTTTTCTCAAAACATATATTTCTACCTCCTCTCAGTACATCTTTGAGCACCCTGCCAGGACCTCCCAGGAATGGGCAGTTCCCCCACCCAGCACACCATGCCTTCCCTAGGGCCCTCCCTAGCCCTTGGTGACAAGGCCCTTCACAACTTGCACAATGGCGTCCTTGTCAATACTAGACATCTTCAGCAGCTCACTAGAAATTTTTAGGCTGAAATCCTCATCGGTAGTTTAAATTTTAGTCCAACTGTGTAACCATGGAGTGAAATTATTTTGGGGTTCTAAATAATACTTGAATTTAATATTCTTTAAAAAGTAACTTAAGCTTTCTGCAATTTTGACTTTCATTAGTTTTTTTTTTTTTTAAAGTGGGGTATAGAGATCAAAACTTGAAAAACAAAACTAATTTTTTTGTTTGTTTGATTTTTGAGACAGGGTCTCTGTGTAGCTTTTGGGGCATATCCTGACTCGCTCTGTGGACCAGGCTGGCCTCGAACTCACAGAGATCCGCCTGCCTCTGCCTCCCGAGTGCTGGGATTAAAGGCGTGCGCCACCACCGCCTAGCTGAAAAATAAAACTAATGTAAAGCTACACTTATTTGTTTTTGCATATGTGTGCATGTCTGTGTGTCCGTGTAGAGTGCTGCATGTACCACGCCATGGATGTGGAAGTCAGAGGAAAGCCTCTGTCCATTGTTTGTGTTCCGGAGACCAAACTCAGGTTGCCAGGCTTGGTGGAAAACGGTCTTACCCACTGAGCATCCTGCTGGATTCATAACCTAACTCTTTCTTTTTTAAATTTATTTTTATTTTGTTTTAATTTTCTGATTGTTGGTGTTTTGTCTGCATTTATGTCCCATGTGAGGGTGTTGGATCCCCTGGAACAGGAGTTATAGACAATTGTGAGCTGCCATGTGGATGCTGGGAATTAAACCCTGGTCCTCTGGAAGAGCAGCCAGTACTCTTAACTCTGAGCCAGCTCTCCAGCCTCCTCATAACCTAATTCTTAATACAACAGTTATATCATACTTAATGAATTTTATATCAACTAACTTACTGAATCAAATACATTATTTAGAATCTGACCAATAGGCATTATGAAGTATTTTAAGGTAAACATAATAAAATTTTTTTTTTTGCTGTAATGACAATGAGCATGCCATTTTCATCCTTAAATAAAATGCTTTGAGTATGTGGGCCATATCTATTTATACCTGCTTTGTGTGTGTGTGTGTGTGTGTGTGTGTGTGTGTGTGTGTGTGTGTGTGTGTGTGTCTGTGGCATGTGCACGCCCATGTGCACTCATTGTACACTCATGGAAACCCAATGTTGACATTGGAGGTCTTCCTTGATGACTCTCCACATTATTTTTTGAACCAGCATATCTCAAAGAATCCAGAACTCACGGTTTCAGTTAGACTGTCTGCTTGGCATCCCAGGATCCACCGAACTCTGCCCCTTGGTGCTGGGATTACGGGTACGTATGACACACTCAGCTTCCTCACATGGGGCTCTAGGATCCAAGCTGTGTTTTTTATGCTTGCTGAGATACTTTCTCTACAGAGCCATCTACCTAGCCCGTGTATATGCATCTTAGAACAGTGGTATGAAATTACTTAATTTTTCTTAGTGTTATATAGAAAATAGTATTTTTTTTCTTTTTTCTTTTGGTTTTTTTGAGACAGGGTTTCTCTGTGTAGCTTTGCGCCTTTCCTGGAACTCACTCTGTAGAGCTACAGAAAATAGTATTTTCAGACATTTACAAAAATGCCATGCACTGATCTAAGCCTCATTTGTTGATTTTTCCTGTTTGTGAGTCTGGATATTCAGCTCTTGACAACAAACACACACCACTTGCATGCACAAATCACACCATACATAAACAGATCACTTGCATGTACAAAACATACTGTACATAAACAGCATGTTCAATTTTTGGATTTTTTTTCTTCATTCTACCTTTAAAAGTATACATTTTTTTTTCTGTCTAAAACAAATTCTTACTTTTGGAAAACACACTCTTCTCATAGGGAACACAGATACAATAAAAACACAGCCCTGAACATTTTGTCCTTTAGACCTTAATCACATCTTGGGATACATGTATGAGATTTCCATGAGGGAAAGCGAGTCACCCCTGTAAGTCAGGAGGGACTCTGGCTCTGCCCTGGGGCTCAGGTGCCATGTTCAAGGGAGATGTGAGACTCCTATGTCTTCAGAGTACTCCAGAACAGAAACCATGCTTGCAGAAGAAAACCTGACCAGGCCTAACTCCCCTATGTTGAACAAGCCCAAGCCAAAAGCCTATCTTTGTCTCAGTTCAAAATGTTCTCCAAAAACAAAAACAAAACAAAACAACCACCACACACACACACACACACAAAAAAAATCTCTGCCCATCATAGCTGCGGTGGATGAGCTTGGCCTCCTATGAACAGAACCAAGTCAAGGAAGGGCTCTTCCAGGGGATGGAAATTGATTTTGCATAGAAGGGTGGTTAGTCATGTAGACTGTCACTTCTGCACAGTGGAGGATTTTACTGTTTATCTGGCCTTTTTAAAGGTTGGCATTTGAATAATGAGGTGGCTGGTAAGAGATGTGGCAAATCATACTTTTCTAAGATGGCTAGAATATTACCTTCAGTCTGTACAATCTGACCTCGCTGCTCTCCTAACAAGAGGGAGAGCTTTCCACCCCTCTTCCCTGGGTTCTGAGCTGGCCTTGGGACTCACCTGGAACCAACAGAACAAAGCAGACAGACAGACAGTTTGAGTGACTTCTGTAGTCAGCTTTTCCTTTGGGCTTCAGCTCACAAATAACGACATGGAGACTTCTTATTAATTGTGAAAGCTTAGCCTATAGTTTAGGCTTGCTCCTAACTAGCTTTTATAACTGAAATTAACCCACGTATATTAATCCACCTTCTGCCACATGGTGTTACTTCTCTTACATCTTGCACCTCCTGTTGCCTCTCCGTGTCTCCTGGCATCTCTCACGTGACTAGATTCCTCCTCCTTTTCCTTTCTCTCCCCAGAAATCCCACCTATACCTCCTGCCTAGCTATTGGCTGTTCAGCTCTTTATTACACCAATCACAGTAGATACATCTTCACACAGTGTACAAATATCCCACAACAGACTTCTAACGATGATTGGAAAAGGCCAAGTAGCTTTTGCTGGGCTCTCTGGAGAAAGATATCTACTGTGAGGGAAGCTAGCATAGGGAAGAGGTCTGATGACTCACACTAAAGAGGAAGTTCTGTGGGCAGCCCTGCTGAGCTCCACCTCTGAGCATGGCAACCAAGATTCAAGACACACTGGCAAGTCAATCTTGGACCTCTCAGAGTAGTCCAGTCACCAGGTGGATAACACTTGAGTAAACTTAGTCAACCTCATGGAAAACAGAGTTGCCCAAATAATCCTTGAATCTATTCCAACCTATGAAAACGGTAAGATCTATGGAACTCTATTATTCATCACTGATATGAGGGTAGTTTACTGCATGGGGACATGGCTGCAGCAGTATCAACTAGAAGTCACTGAATGAGGGGAGAGAGATGAAAGCCCACAGATGAAGGGAGAGTGACCAGAAGAAATTCATTTCTTGCAATATGATACACTAGGTACCTTGATTAACCCTTGATTAATCCATTGAAAAACAATTAAAATGATAGACATAGCATTAAAAATTACCTTAAATGTATTGAATGGCTGCTAAGAGAGCAGAAAGAAACTTCTTGGTGGGGCTCAGGAAGTGGGCGGCGAAATAAAGAGAGGGAGCCCGGAAAAGGAAAGCAAACATTGAAAATGTCTTTGACTTGAGGACACTTGCATTAAATCTGGTGAATATGAGCAGTCATTTTCAAAAGCAGGTGAGATATGGAAGATGGGGGTGGGGGACCAAATGGAACATCCCAATGCAAAGCTGTGCTGTGCTACGGAACCTCAGAGGACACCAAAGGAGACTTCGATTGGAGCTGGTATGGGGTGGGTCGGAATTGTAGGCTGAGCATTGGACCCATAAGCTTACTGTCCACCTGGCTTGTGGTCTGAATCCACAGTTGAAAGGAGTGTATGGCTATTATGTCACAGGACCACTTAAGTGTTGAGGCTTTCAGAGGGAGAAAGGTGCTAGGATGGGCGAGCATGAGTATGCAGGTTTTGGAAACACAAAAGGTCACTGAGATACTTGCCTTGTCTGCAGGTGTCAACCTGGCCCAGGGCTTGTCGGCTCGGCGGTCATAGTCGGGAGAATCCGTGACTTCTACATACTCATTAAATCGCAAGATCCTTCGGGCTTGTAGCTCTGCCACAGAAGGTCTTAGGCTGAGCTACAGGAGGGTAGGAGGGAAAGGGCAGAGATCAGTTACAAGTGTAGAGCCTCTAGGCGGCAAATTTTCTGTCTGGAACACTTCAAAGTTAAGGTCACTTTCAGGTATTAAAAGAAAAGCAACGGCATCTTGGGAATTTGTAATGAGACCTAGAAAGCAGCGTGCCCTCATTTCCAGACCAGAAAATCATCACTGCTAGCTAGGTCAGCCTTTGGCAACCGTCTGTATTGTGCGATTCCCCACAACATGCCTGGCGCTAAGACTAAGGCTTGCCTGTCATCTCTGACACAGGAACACACGGTGGCAAAGGCCCACCAGTAATACAGCTCGAGGATGGTTATCGTGGTGGCTGACAGACTGAGACAGAAGCTATGACGCTCCTAGAAAGTGGAAATGAGTGTCTGCTTCTGGCTTTCCTGGCATATATGTAGAAATGCAGTGTTCTCAGCAGAAGTGCCTCAGAGAAGGGTGGAGCTACACCCACAGCCAGAACAGCTGACTGGTAGATGAAGGAGGCCTTCTGGAGAACAGTCCTTGCAATCTTTCTGACATGTCTGCTTTTGGGGATTCCTTCGTGAGTCCTCTGTCCCATTCAAATTTATCATCATATCTAATGTGGTTAGCCCTGGGGGTGTCTTTGATTTACAAGCACCAAGAATAAGGCCGGAATAATCCTATATGTGAAAGAAACCCAGACCTATCTTGGAATGCTTTTTGCTGTGAGCACCCCAGCCAGCCCTCAACAATGTGAGTCAGGCCACATGCTCGACTATGGGGTCATACTTTAGTTATCATGCTCTCTTCCAGGTATGGAAGATATATCTGAGAAACCACTAGATAGATTTATAATGAAATATAAATTCTGATCATCCTTAGTTTTTCCAAAGGCTATTATTTTTTAACACAGAAACAGAAAGTCATGGCCTTGGAATCAGGTTTGTCTTTTTGTAAATAAGTGGAAACAATTGCCTGAGTTCTAGAGATAAGCCATTTGTCAATTTGGGTAACACTGTGGTCAAATTCACTCAATGAATTAGTTACCCAGGTCTGCTGCAGAACAGTGACAAACCATTAATAATCACAAAATACTTATTTAGTATTTCCAAGACTAAATGGAAACTGTATTTTTAAATCTCATTAAAGACATAAAAATATACTAAAATGCTAATGTTGGCTCTCTAAATGGAAGATTTGCATATGTCATTTTCCTTCTTGTATTTAAACCTTTTAAAATTAAAATACACATTGTCATAATCAGTAAATGCAATGCACACACTGTTATTTTTTCAAAATGAACATAGCATGCAAAGAGAAAAATAACTGATTTTTATGCATTATTGATTTGAATGCCTTGGATCATATGATAACCTAATAGTAGCGCTCATCCCTAAACATCCCAGTCACATGTAAAGAGCGGGCTTGTAGCTAACAAAATAAACTGAATCCCAGAACACACATGCTCATTAGCAGTCATAACATCATCACCTTCCGGCTGAGTCTCCGTTTCAGTTCCATTTTTGCTTCTTGCTCCTCTTCTTCGTTCTTTTCTGTTTATTAGGGGAGGAAGGCATATGGACAGTTACTAGAGATGATCGTGTGATAAGAAAAGTCTATCAGGAACAATTGCCCAGCTCTGGCATATGCTGATTAAAGAAGCCATCACCTTAGAAATGTATCAAAGGATTCTGCAGAACGAGTGGTCATACACATGTAATACGTGTACATGTATGCAAGGATTCTTCCTTATGGAACTGGCTGACTTTCTTCCCTGATTTTAAACCTCATTGCTTCCTGATTTCTTGTTCTATGCCTATACTATTGCTGACCACCTCATGGCCTTAGAAACACAATCTACCAGAATTCAGATAAAAATCTACTTCTGGATCTGATCTTCATGTGAAAACTCCAAGGCACATTAAAAGAACAAATTAGAACCATCCCATGCACGTCCGAGCTGCTGACTTCCATTCAAACCCAACCAAAATATTTGACTTGTCTTCCTATGTTTCCATAGAAGCAAAATGTAAGCATTCCTTGGGACTTGGCTTTTAAACCAATGTTCTGAATGGGGTCAAGATGTACTGTGGGTGGAAATTATTTATTTTCTTGTGAGTTTAACTTTCCAAAGTTGTCTTTTTCTCTGGTGCTTCATCAAGTAGTGCAATTTCATGCAGTCCAACAGATGGGATTGAAAAAAAAAAGTTCAGAATTTTTAAAGAAACAGACAGCCTTCGGGATTTATGGGATGCATATTTGCAAAGCTTCTGTCTGTTTCTTCCTGTATCTCATCTGTGTTAAGTAAGGCATTGGTTTTACTTCAGAGCAGAATACGTATAATACTTATATTCTAAAGAGTCTAGTGAAGTCTTCAGAATCAACTAAGTCTTCAGAAAAATTCTCTTTTATGAAAAAGTTTTATTTTTTAATCTCTCTCTCTCAGTATAGTATGGTATGGTATGGTATGGTATGGTATGGTATGGTATAGTATAGTATAGGTCAGAGGACCTTGAATGTCATCATCTGGTGCTACCCACCTTGGTTTTTAAGACAGTGTTTCTCACTAGGACCTGAGGGTTATTGACTAGGCTGTGGTGTCTGGCCAGAGAGTCCCAGGAATCCACCTGTCTCTGCCTCACCAGCACTGACACGGTAAGTGTGCCCCATCACATCTAGCTTTTTAAGTGGGTGCTGGGGATAGAACTTAGGTCTTCATGCTTGTGCAACAAGCACGTTACTGACTGAGCAATAATTCCCCTAACTCCAAAATATATCTATTGTAAAAATTCAGATTGACTTTTCACCACTAAGGTTACTGGCTTCAAGAGTAAAAAGTTAGTCTTGAGTATATGCAGCACCTACAGGTATTTGCTCATTGACCCGGCTGTATTCTCTATACATTTTTTTTTTTTTCTTCTCTGGACATAATGAAGTTTCTGTTTTCTTCTGAAACCCATTTTCGAATTTACATGTGAAGAGGATGATCCATGTAGTTATATATAGTGACACAAACCGAAATCACCCTCAGTCAAGAGACACTTCAAGTTCCTGCATCACATGGATTTGGTTATAACTTGGATTTCATATTATGAATGAACTGTAAGCTTGGGTGACTGCTTCACAGAAACATGTCTTTCTACACCGTTAAAGTGTATCCAAAGGGCCAATTACTTAATGTGAATTGAACGAAGCTTGTGAACTGTCTAGTATACATGTTACACAAATTCCAAACTTGTTGGTAATGTAATTAAAATCAGAACTTTACAAGGCAAGAACTGTGATGATACAATAAGAAATAATATAATCTTTAAGTATAATTTTAGTCACTTCTTCCTATATGCCTACCATGCTTCACTTTTTCTTTCTTTGTTTTTTAAAGCTATTTTAAAAAACTAAATTAATTTCTTTTATTTTATGAGTGTTTTCCCTTCACTTGTGTTTGCACACCGGGTGTGCTTGGTGTCCACAGAGGTCAGAAGAGGGCATTGGATGCCCTGGAACTGAAGTTGCAGATGGTTGTGAACCGACATGCGAATGATGGGAATTGAACCCAGGTCTTCTGCAAGAGCAGCCAGTGTGCCCTGGACTGATAAGCCACCTCTCCAGCCCCCCATCCCCCATGCTGCATTTCTTAAAGGCATTTTCAAAGACAAAAAAAAAAAAAAAATCCCAAAGGTTTTTCACTACTTATGTAAAATGTCATTTCTTTAAAAGGGAATATTAGTTTTACCCTTTTAAGGATGTTGTACAATAAAGTGGTAGTCAGTAACATTTAAGAAAGGAAGAGCGGATTAGGGAGCTTAAGTAAACAGGGTTTTACTATCTGGGAACACTCTTTCCTGACACTAGGAACTAACTGGCCTTTAACATTTCCCATGTTTGAAGTGATACTTCTAAAGAGGGTGAGGGATGGAGGGGAGCTGCCATGGGGTAATCTCTGAGTCTTTGCAGAATGGGACAGAGACAAGGGGACATCTTGATACTGGTAGTTAAATATTCACCGAGATGTTCATTTAGGGTACATTCCCTTCACTTTTTGATTAATTAGAGGACTAACTGTACAATACGACGTAAACTGTTTTGGGCACTGGGATGGATTGAAGGGTTTTCATGAAGGATGCGACAGAACTCTTGGTCCATGTCTTGCATCAGAGCGGAAGGGTGTCACTTCAGACAGCCACAGGGAAGCGTCTGAATAAACCCTCCATCAATACATGTGCTTTCATGGCAGCGGGCACTGCAGAAACCTGACTGCCTAGCCAGGGTGGCCCCAGCACGGTGTGAAGGAGCCCGGAGAAGAGGGAAAAGGAGAGCAAGAGTAGCAGCCAGAACAGAAGTGTACTCCTGAACCATTGATTTGTGTGCAATGACCTGGGCCGCGCCCCACATGTTCTTCCTGGTTTTCTTTATCTGTTTGCCGCTTGACATGTTTCCATGTGAGTGGGGTTTTGTTTTGTTTTATCTTTTAAACACCTATTTATTTATTTATTGTGTGTGTGTGTGTGTTCACAAGCACACTACCACAGCACACATGTGGAGAGAAGAAAATTTGTAGGAGTAAGATTCATGTAGATTCATCTGGGGCCTGGGGACTGTACTCAAGTTGTCAGACTTGGTGCCAGAGTCTTAACTTGCTGAGCCATCTCACTGGCCCCATGGATGTATTTGCAACAAACGAAAATACATTTGTAAACTTTTGAAATTATATATATATATATATATACTATATATATTAAACATATATATATGCAGATATATGTTAAAGAACATATATCAATGGATGGGTAGTATATGATAAAGATGTCAACAGTAGAACATAATTGGCAGACACATGGTTAGTTAGTTGCTCTCCATAAAATTCCTTCAATTTTTTTGTAGATTTAAAAAATTGCATAGTTAATTGTTGAAGAAAAAGATTCAGAACCTAGTGGCCTGGGTCATTTTTTTTTCTCTCTCTCGATGGAAAACACAGCTGGAAAGACACAGCTGCACCCAGAAGCTTTTCATCCTTTCTCAGGCCCTGTATGGAAAAGATGTCTTGTCCACATTCCTTTTCCTGATCAGCCAGAGGCAGGTAAAGATGCCTCTACGTATTTTCTCGATTTTAAGGGATTTGTTTGAAAAGGAATAATCAACTATAAATATAGTTTATATGTTATATAATATAACATGTACTAATACATATTATATAGTTTATATGTTACACAATATAAATGCAGTTAAAGAAAACCACTCTAACCAACACAGGGACGAAATCAAGTGTGGGGTATAAGGGACATGGTGCTAAGACATCAAGTTTGTCCCATGTCCTCACAGAACAGCTACTGGCATTTCCTGCCATCTCAGTCATAGTTACTAAAGGGGTGGTGGGTTTCAATTAGAGAACTATTGAATACTTTATGCTTTCAATCAGTTTCCTAGCCCCCAAGAGGTGGCCTAGGTGACCTTAAAAATCATACTGTGTCACAGATAGTTTTCTGGTGTCTTTATTTCGATACTGCTGCTGCCTTTGAACAAAAACTTGAGATGAAATAAACAAGCAAAGAGAGGAAAGTATGGAGGAATGCAGAAGGGGAATGAATGAAGTGTTTGTGGGCTAAGCCCCTGCGATCCTCACTGGAAAGAACACTACCCACCCATCCCCAACCCGCCACTGCCCCCAGCTCAGCCTGCTTCCCTTGGCCCATGTCAGGGGAGCAGGAGCCAGTTAGCAGCCTCTCTAGACTGGAAATAGGACCTCCCGTGTCCAGAATCAACATGAACTTAGAAGGAAGTAAAAGAGGGCTGGAGTCAAGTCTGAAGTTGACTTTGGGGCTTCACTCTTTCCCGAACCTCCAGGAAAACAGAGGGTGCAGAAGCCAATACAGCACTTAAGATCAACATGCAATAAATTTCCGGATCCATGAAAGAGTTCCTCAAATAACTAAACTCCAGTGTGGCTTGGCACATTAGTCCCAAAGGACAGGATTACCAGAACTTGCAAGGCCTTCTTTTCGAAGTATTTCATCAGACATCCAAGAAGACATACCCTCTGTACTTGTAGGAGCTTGCATTCCTCCTAGAGCTTAAACTTGAACTTAGCGAGTATGTCCTGGGAACTCCTCATGGAAAACACTTTTGACACCTTAGGGTTTTGTTTTCATGTCAACATTAGATGTTGCTCAGGTAAAATGCTTAGGTTTTAGCTACCAGCTCTTTGTCTTTCCAAGTGGCATTTCTGCATGTTGGCAGGCACTTTGATGGGTGCTAGTCAACTTAGACTCACAAATGGCCAGAAAAAGCACAGCATGGGAGAGACTCCTGTGTAGTAGAGTTGTACTGTAGAGCATGCTACAGACTGAGTGGTTGGTCCTCCGTGCACTGGTAAATGCTCATTGTTGGGTTGTTTCAGTTACGGCAAAAGCCCTAGAAATATGCCACAAAAATCTTTTTTTTTTTTCCTTTACAGAAGAAAATAACTCCTATTAAAGCATGGGGTCATCCAGAAGGCTGGCTGTACTCTGCTGGCTTGGTTGAAAAGGATGTCCCCATGCCAATGGCTCACTACTATTGCAGTCTGCCTGGAGGGCTGATTGTTCCTGTATTTTGGTATTTCAAACACTAAAAAGATCTAGGAGTAGAGCTCGGCTTGCTTTTTTTTACTCACTGAGGCTAGTGGCCTCCCCGACAATGGCAGGACAAACTGCGTTTCTAATGGGATCTCGCACACTTTGCCACCAGAAGTCAGAATGGAAAAATCAAGTGGGAAATGAATGGAGAACTCTTTAAAGCTCAAGAAACCACAAAGAATTCAAGAAAGAAGAAGAGCTATCACAACAATGGAAAATGAAATGCCTTGAAAAATCCCTCTAACCATCATTTTAAACTGAGACTTTTGTCCAACCTAGCAACAAACTGTATTATTCATAACAATATAGGAATGTTTGATTGATTTTCTTGTGGATTCTTTCTTTGGCAGTTATTTGAAAGTAGACTAGAGCATTTGCTTTAATATTTGGGCAAAAGAACACATGGGATAAATTTCATTTTTCTCAGAAATAATTGCTATGACCAGGACTCCACTTTAGGGAATATCAGGCTTAAAGTCATAAAATGAAATATGAAAACCAAGAAATTATTTTTTTAAATATGTAAATGTCTACGAATATATACGACATACATGGGCCATTCCAGTCAGTTGTGAATCATGTTTCCCTCCTGATGGATGATTCGTCTCTGGGGTACCTGGTTATTGATTACCTGTGGGATCATGCTATAGCAACATACTCACGTTTTAAAATGTTTCTTTGCTCTAATTCTTCAGTTGTTGGCCTCTGGCTGAGTCTTCTACAATGACAAGATGATATGCTACAGTTTACAAAATGAATACATCTTGTGTTACAAATGAGGTCCATTTGGCAGAAGATACTAATGAACCAGCAAAGCTAGACATTGTTATATCTTGAGAAATAAAAATAAATTTTTAAGCCTGTAAAATAAATGTCTCCTTCCTGTTTGTAGACTACTGAATGTAGCTTAGACTTCCACGTGTCTCCGCTTCTCCACCCATCCCTGGAAGACAGGGATCTGACTTTTTGGCTGGGCAAATGCCTACAGATCATAGCTTCCTTAGCTAGGTATGGGATGCGACTGACTCCTTGCAAGGGGCCATGAGCAGAGTGAGCTTTGTTAAGTTGTTTGTCGCCCCTCAATACAGATAAGTGTGCGGTCCCTGCTTTCCAGTTCTTTCTTGCACAGGCTGCACTCGAACATGGTATTATGAGCCTGCTTTGATCTTGTAGATAAGATTCCCCAGGGCCATAAGAAATGTACAAAACAGAAGGAGTCGGGGTGTTAGGTCTATGAGGAGAAGAGGAGGAGAAATTTTCCATCATGCTGGGTGGTCCAGCTTCCTCTCGCTGTCTGGTATGAAAGAAATCAACATACATCGCTTGAACTCTGGTTTTCCTGACATGTTACAGCAGCTTAGCTGATAGCTTGCTTAATTAATGTACAGGGTACTGGGGCCTCAAATCTGCTGCTGCTGCAAAGTTCACGCCAATGTATGAGTTGCTCAATCTATGCTGCTCAGGGTTTGAAGGGAAAGCCTGCATCAGGCACTGCAAGCAAACATATTCCATACTATGCTATCTTAAGCTATGCGGCCCCTTCTTCCCTGCTGTTGAGATAAGCCAGGCTCCCCCAGGATTAGTAGTTAAATGCTTTACAAGAGACCAGGAACTCTTAGAAACTCCTTATAACTTTGTTCTTGGTCTCGTTTACATGATTAATTTGTTGTTCACTGCTGTGAAAGATTGCCTCAGGATGGAGGCTGAATTTGTGTAAGTTAGGATGAATATACATATAGTTACTAGACACAACTAACTCTAAATGTTGGGACCACAGCAAACTAGTTATCCTTCAAGTATTTTCTCAAATTTTCATTGAAGTTAGATCTCCATTGGGACCACTCTGAAATTAAGGTGAGGGGCTGAGTCCACAAATGGTTCCAGGGAGCAATGGTACCTATGCAGCTGGATTCTGTGTCATGACTACACTGTGTGCTATGTGTGTGTGCTGTCCATGGACTAGAGTTCGTCAAACCCAAGTGTGCTAGCTCTCTCTTCCTGAAGGAGCTTCCTTCTTCTGTAATACTTTCTTTTCCTTTCCTACCTTCTAAAATCCTACAGTTGATTAAAATGGGACCTTGACGGTTGACTGGCATTAAGAGTGGAAGCCTCTGGGTTCTTTAGCCCCACAGGAGAGTATCAAACAGCCCTTGCCCTTGTATCATGCTAGATGCTTAAAGTGTTGGGAATCCTCAAAACAATTCAGCAAGGCAAGGGCCAGCTCTCACCTTGCAGACAAAGAAAGGGAGATGAACTGACTTGCTTAAAAAATTAAAACATGAGCAAATGCTAGGATCAAGATCCGCTCCTATCTCATTTGACTTAAACTGTGTTATCTAAGCTTGAACTGCGTGAGCTGTTCACTGGCATAAGGTGTGCTGTGTTCACTGAAAGCAACTCTTTAACATTTATATATTACTAAAAACAAACACTACTATATTAAAAAATTTTAAAGCTATAGATCATGTCTGTACTCACAGAGATATTAAATATTTGATGGGTAGCATTTGAATACTAGTTCATAAAAGATAGCAGTGGTCCCCCAGGTGGATGTTTAGGACTGAAATGGAGACATCGCCACCCATTCTAATCTATGCTCACACTTCTGCTCTTCCTGTGGAAGCCTGAGCATCATCTCCAAGAAATCCCTGATGAAACTGATAGAAGACTGATGTTCAGTGACAGTATGCTACACTGCTATTTTTTCCCCCACTTTTCTCTATCAGTGCCCTGGTTTTGTCTACTTGGTTCATTCTTGGTTTGTTTTAACTTGTCGTTCGCTATCTACAGTCTTATAACACATATCTTTATAAAAAGTCCTTCAAATAAATCATTGTAGATCTTTTCCTTCATTCATATGTTCCCAAAATAGAATTATTATGCAAAGAAATGCTATTTTCCCATAAAATTTGGTTTCATTTTTAATTGTGCTTTGCTGGTTCATAAGTGTGTACAATTCAAGTTAAAAGCAAACATTTAATTTTACTAGGTTCTTGATGTGATCCAAGTAGTAAGAGCTTTAAATATAAGAACCGTTTTATGAGAGGCATCAAGCAATGGCTATCTTCTGTCTTGTTTTAGATATATTTTTGCCAGTAGTTTTTTTTTCAGTTCTAAATAAGGCCACATTCCATTCATTCATTCATTCATTCATTCATTCATTCATTCATTCATTAGTTTGTTCATTTGTAGTGCTAAGGATCAAACCTAGGGTCTTATTTTTGCTAAGCAATTCCTCTACGTCTGGGCTCCACCCTAGCCCAGACACTCTGACTATGCCTAGTCTTCTCTTACTATTGAGTTTATCATTCACACCCTTAAGCATCTTCAAAACATGCCCCCAAGGGTCTTTCATTCCATCTCAGTGAATTAGCTTGGATCTTTCTTTAGCTCACACTGGAAGAAACCATTTGTCTGGTTTCCTTTCATAAAACTGAAACATCCTCAATGCTCTGATTCTGTAAAATGCAGCTACTTTCCTTCAAACTTCACACTAGGGGTACATCTGGTCAACCTGCCTGATGAGTTTTCCTCACTGATACAAATGTTTACTCTCTTTCTCCTTTCTAAATTCATTCCATCCATCGTGGTTGTCTGGACGGGAAGTGTTTGGAGCCTCAACTGTTAAATAAGCAGTTGGCTATATTAAAAAGGCTGTTGAAAATACTGTGACTGCTCTCTCTCCCACTTGCAATATTCTCCTGTTCTGTGCCAATGTCTGTATTACTATGATGACAGTGTTACCGTGATGCTGATGTTCATTGATTAACCTCAGATATTTGGACTTGCAGAAGTTACTATGTAGCAGTTTTATCTTTCTCAGAGTTTTCTAGGCATATAAATAGGAAAAATAACAGTATTTCGTTACTATAATTTATAGCTTTTTTCCATTACAAATAACTATGACTAGACATTTAGTATGAAAAGAGTAGGGAAACTTTGCTCATTTAAAAAATGATTTTAGTTTTTTTCTAGGTACTAATGTATTTAGCATAATTTATAAAAACCTTTAATTCTGGCTTGTCTCAGGTTTTTGTAAGATAATACAATTTTTACCTGGGTGTTGAGGATGGAGCCCAGGCTCACGCTTGCACAACAAATGCTTTACCAAGTGAGCGATTATCCTGGCACAGTGTTCACTTTTTAAAAATCCTTTACTATGATAAACTATACTAATATTCTTTGCATTTAAGGGAGCTTACCCTATTTTGATATCATTTTATATGCATTATTTTTCAATGATTAAAAATTTTCACAACAAAACATAAACAAAGGCAATAAAATAATAAAACACATTTGTCACATGTTTGCATGTATGCGGTGTAGAGGAGACGGTATAAAAAAAATCCATCATAGATGAACAGTGATCCTAACTTGCTTCTGTTATAAAGGAACGGTACAGTTTCCAGAAAGTCCCTTTATCTCCTGAGGCCTCAGGGGTCCCTGCTTTTACTTGTTAAGAAGACTAATTTGACATGAAGTTCCTTTGACTTCTGCTAGCTCTTTCCTGAGGCAGGAAATGGTCCAGGCTTAGGGCTGAGGTGAAAACACTCCAGTGAGAAGGAGATCATTGGCAAACTACTCAGGACTTCTTTTTGAGTCCTAGAGGGAGTTGCTGGAGCTGGGGACAGCACACCCCTAGGCCTCCTCCTGGATTCTGTAGGGAGGTGAGCCTTCCCTTCATATAGGAGTCACAGGTGCTATCCCTGAAAGTCTCCCTTTTAGCAGAGAAGGGCCTTGGAGATTCTCTCCCTATGGAGAACAGCAAACACTCCCTGACAGCCCTGATCCAAAGCTCCTACAGCAATCACATGAGCCTCCTGCTTCTAAGCAAGGGCAGCAGCTTCCTTCCATCTTCATATCCTGATCTGGTTCCCTTCTCCCAGTGATAGACCTTGGTGGGTGTGCAGAGTGAGGGAAACCAGCAGAAAACAGTGACACTTGCGTGTGCTCAAGCTGGTATCAAAAACAGTTCCGTCCCAGGGATGAACCGCTATTAAAAATCCCAGTTCAATGGACTTCTGAAGTCACTCGTGGCAAAAACAGAAGGCCTATAGCACACATGGGCAGCAGGGAGTGAGGAGTGATGCCTGATGGCCCACTCATCCCAAGCTAAAGGGTTGTGTTTGGACAGAGGGCTATGTTTACCTGACCAGGACAAGGCTAGGCCAATGAGACTTGGTATTTCTCCAGTCTCACAGCCCACATAATGGAACCTCATACTTTTCACATAAATCTCAGTAAGTCCTCAGATTAGAAGAGAGACTGGGCAAGCTGTGGACTGCAGGCCAGATCCTCTGTGCTACCCTTTTTGGTAAATGCATTTTATGGACGCACTCTCGTGTGCATTTGTTTATATGTTATTTACATCTTCTGTTATGCAATGGTATAGTTGAATAACTTCAACAGAGACCAGCCGGCCATCAAAGTCTGAGAATTCATAATTGATCTTTTTTTTTTTTTTTTGGAAAAGTATGTTGACCTCTGAGCTACACGTTCTGGAGACCTCAAAGCTACTGGGTAACTGACCAGAGGGCAAATCCTTTGAGTGGCTGGTTCCTCATCTGAGACCAAATTTATAAGACTGGATGGGACAGGAGCCCCTGAACCTGGTGAATTCACCAAGACCTCAGGCAGAAAGGAGACTCTGGGATGACTAGAATCAGTCACTGCTGCACTCACACTGCCATCAAGTACCTGACTAGCTTGGTCCCGATCTGCTGCCTTATTTCCTGTCTTTCTTCTTCAGATGTTCGCTGCAGGATGTTTTTATCCTCCAGTTCTTTTTTGGATGGTCTGTTGCCAAGTTTTATGGCAAGAGTGTCCCTTCGTCGTATCTTACTTGCCAAAGCACCTGAAGATTGAGAAAGGGCAGAAAAACAGGTACATCAGTTTTTACCCTAGCAGGGCTTTGGTTACACGTGGCTGGACTTTAACAGGACCTGAGCCAAATTCTTTACTTGCGTGCAAGAGGGGAAACTTAATCAGTCGAAAGCGGGGGAGGGATTTTTGAGTTGGAGATAATTCATTTTGAAAAAGAACTGAACGATTTTTTTTTTTAATGTTCTGAAAAAAAAAAAAAAAAAACAACCCGTACAAGCTTGGAAGTATCACCTCATCATCTGGACGGAGATAGTTGAGGTTTATTCTGCTGACTTGGTGGATCATGGAAATCAGTGATTGCACAACCCTTTTGCTTTCTTTTCAAGTCAAAAGCTTATCCTCGCTCTTTATTCTGTACAGTTAATCCTTGTCATCCCCTTCCCCGGAGCCAGGCGTCATGCTGGCAAGGAGCCTACCCTATATACAAATGCTTTAACTCTTAGTCACCCAGGCATCCTTAAACTCCCAGCAGGCAGATGGATGGATGCTACAGAGAGGAAATCTAATACATTTCTACTGAATCACTAATATACTAATAACTTTTAATCATCTATAAATTCAATCCCACAGTGAATTCTTCCTACATCACGCTCCTCCTAAGTTTAAAACAACAACAACAACATTGTAACAGCACACTCCAGTCATCTAATTAGACACAGTCCATGGCCGTCATTCCCCTTTGGGATCCTTCCTTTCTAATCCCATTCCTTTGGGATCCACATCCTATCTTTGCGATGGTGGACGAGTGAGCATTTTTAACTCCAACAAACTGTTTGTCATTCTTGACTCACTCCCTTCTCCTCTCTCCTTAAGCCACAGCATACAACGAGTGAAATTTTCTAACACTTCCAGCAGGCCAAGGAACCCCCACCGTCGCCCAGGACACTCTTTCTTCAAGAACAGGTACCTGGAGGGATGGCCACCTTTGACTTGCATAGAAAAAAACAAAAACAAAAACTCTCTGTTCTTAGAAAGCTTAGATTGTTGATATCAAGACAAATATTTAGTCTAGCTCATTTGTCAAAGGTGTGACACATCTCTGTAGTATCCTCTTCTGAAAATGACTGTCATCATGAGCTAAACTTTGGGACAGGCACACTTTTTTTTTTTCAGTACTAGGAATTGAACTGATGGAATTATGCTATCCTCCAAGCCTGTTTTGACACTTTAGCCTGAGACATGGTCTCATGAAGTTGCCCAGGCTAGCCCTGAACTCACTCTGCACCCAAGGCTTCCTTTGAACTTGCTATGGTCTTGCCCCAACCTCCCATGTTGCTGGGGTTAGAGGCTTGCAACCAGTTTTAGCTAGGACAGCTATATGTCTAATTTGAGAGAAGGTGAGGGAGGAAAAGGTTGGGTGGCGGTGGCTGAGAAGGCTTTTGTGTTGTACGGGAGGTGGCTCTCTGTACACCACCCACTCCTCTACTTCTTAGAAATATTCTTACTTTCTCCACTGCCATCATCATCATCATCCTCTTCCTCATCATCATCAGTGTACAAGATGGGTCCATCTGAGTCAGAGTCGTTGGATTGGTATTCTCTTGGGGCCTCATCCTCCGGGGCACTGAAGGATTCTGAAGAGTCTCCCATCTGCCCAAGAGGTCCAGCTTTTCCCAGCTCATCTTTGGTTGTAAAACTATTAAGGGCAAAAAAGCAGAGGGTAACATGAAGTACAGAGCAATCCTCATAAATAACAACACCATACAAAGCATGCTAGTGTCACCAACTACCTTCATGCCAGGGATGGGAGAAATGCAACATGGGATGGCCAACCAACCTCATCAACATGGAAGTTCTCCGATGCATTACTTAATTGTTGAGGTTTTATAGTCCTCAGTTGCAAAATGAGAAGGCATCACTAGATGATATCTAATATATCACTAGATGATCACGGTGAAAACTGAACTTTGCAAACATATTTGTCCACAAATAATGGGGCAGTAGGAGAAAGAGCAGTGGGCTAGGGCGGACGGAGGGGCAGCTCACTCAGCGACGTGTTTGCTGCACATGCCTGACTTCCTGAGCTTTCAATCCCCAGAACCCACATGACAGAAAATATAGCTGTGGTAATGCTTGTCCATAACCTCAGTGCACACACACACACACACACACACACACACACACACACACACACACACACACAATCACAATAATAATGAGTGAGAAGCTCCATGGTACTTGACTCTGTCTGCACTTCTTATTGGCTCTCCAAGTCTAAACATAACTCTTAGCTCCTCCACAAACGTCTCTAGATCATTCAGTTGACTTCCTTGCCCCACTCCTATGCTCTTACAGCCACCATTGCAGAGCTTAGCATCCCTGACTTGTCTGCCTTCTGCTCCTACTACACCTTTGACCAACAGGATTCAGAGTGTTCTCCCTCCCAGCACCCAGAAGGGTGTCACACAGGAAAGCACACCTCTTACTAATTTAGAATAAGCCCCATTTTTTTTCCCCAGCCAGTGGGCCAACAGGCAAAAATCCTGCATCTTTTCTGTGCCTTCATTTCTTCATGTATAAGACCGCCTCTTACAGGACTAGCGTAATACCCAAGATGCAAAGTGTTAGATAGAAGCTTCAGAAGAAAGGTAATATCCTGGGGGAAGGGCAATAACGCTTTGTCATTCAGATGGGTAAAGGTCTCTACAATCCTCACCCATTTTCCAAGACTAATGTAGAATATGCATGGGACAACAAAAACATTTAATTTCAAAAATAGTGTAATCGTTATTGTCAGATACAGAAGACCATCCCCACCCCAAATACATTCTGATATAAATAGATGAATTCACATTTGGTGTTTTCACAGACAAAAAAAAAAAATTAAAAATTAAAAACCAACCCCCAACCTTCCCCCAAGACAAACAACAACAAGACAACCAGGAAATGTTTTGACTGACGCACACAGGCAAGCTTCACTAGAACAAAAGGCATTTAGAGCCAATTTTGTGGTTATAAACCCAGGCACTTCCAAGAATCTTCATTTTTCTTTTCTTTTCTTAGAAAGAACCCAACAGCCTCTGTTGTTTTCAAAGGGGCATATGAAATCTCCGAGTGTGTGTGTGTGTGTGTGTGTGTTCACGAATTTTGAATGTCTTCCTCTATCATTCTTAGTTTTTGAGATAGGGACTGTCATTAACCCTGGAACTTAACATTCTAGCCAGACTGGCCAGCAAGCTCCTGGGATCTGCCTGTCACTGCCGCCTTCCTATTCCCAGCACTGGTGTTTCATATGTGGACCTCCAGGCCTTGCTTTTACATGGGTGCTAGGGCCGAGTTAGGGTCTTTTTACCCACTTTACCTGAGCCATCTCTCTAGTCCCTGAAACTGCATTTTTAATTATGTGACATATACATAACTGTAGTGGGTAGCCATTCCAGCTTTGATCTGGAAGTTCCAACCCCCACTGAGGCTTTGGTAACTGTCACGCCTACAAGGCAGGGCCAAGAGAGGACCCTGAAGACCTGAGATCCGGATGCGCCGGCTCTCTTGGTTCCTGGACCCTGGACACTGGAGGTAGACCGAGCAGAGTTCTCCAGAGAACACCGCCGGACTGCGCCACACATTTCCCTGACCCTGTAAACTATCCCTTCACTTGTAAGTTACCCCACAAAATAAACCTCCCTTTTAACTACGTGGAGTGGCCTTAATAATTTCACCAATACATAACCCCAAATTTCCCATCTCAACACTTTTTAAGGTATTAGATACATTCATCTTGTTGTGTAATTATCATCATGCATCTCCAGAACCTGTTCATCTCTCTAAACTGAAGCTCTGTCCCCATCAACTAATAATTCCCCACACCTCCTATCCCTCAGAAACCACCATTCAACTCTCTGTGTCTATGATGCTATTTTATGAACCTCATAGAAGGATAATTATACAAACCTCTGAGTTTACTTATTGCACTTAACGCAATGTCAAGGACATCCATGTCATAGCAGTGTCAGAATGTCCTTCCTGTTGAGGGCTAGATGATATGACATTGTGTGCATTTACTCATTCACCAGTCAATACCCATTTGGGCTGTTTCCGTCTTTTGGTTACTGTATATTAACTCTACATACACTGGTGTACAAATCACTTCTCCACTTTGAATTCTTTGAACTACAGGCACAGAAAGAGAATTTCTGAATCATATGGTAATTCTATGTTCACTTTTTGGGAGATAACACAGAATGAAGTGTCATTGTAAATAAGGGAAGATTTATTTTTTATAGACAGCTTTTCCATAGTCTAGATTATTAGTTGATTGCTGCAGAAAGCTATTCTATTTTGAGAAGACTGTCACTATGGGCAACAACAGTATGTTTAAAGGTTTGTCAATTAATAATAGCTTCTGCATATAGCAGAACGAGGTACTTCAGGGCTCAATCCTGTTACTCATGCCATTAGTCACTAATCTATTACACTAATTATTTTAATTTTGCCATTGGTATAGTATTTTGCAGTTTGCAGAGTTCAGCAACATTTATTTACAACTCATAACTATTTAAAACCATAATATGGTTAGAGAATTTACAGCATGGGTCCAAGAAAGGCTGTAAGTAAATAGCCCACCCAACCTGGCTAGTGTAGTGTGGGATCCAGACTGAGACAGCTAGTCTACTTACTAAATGTTATATTATATGATTATTATAATTAGTTAGTATTAACTCTGCTCCACATCTGCATTGGTCAGCTCATACCTCAACCCTTATGGTTCCTGAGAACACTGGACAACATTGAACATTACATAAATCTATGTGGAGGGGACTCCACAAGTCATTTTTAAATATGACCTCAAATGGGTTGAATTTTTTCTGCCCTGCATTACAGAGATGTCTGTGTTATGGATAGAGCTGTAAATGCATAAAAGCCTACTAAACAGCAGCCTGTAAGATAGGAAGAAAGGGAGGTATTTTTATATACAACCACCAGCCCTATTTCAAGTTTTGATATTTGTACCCCAAACAGAAGGCTTTTCATACTATGACAGAGTTTTCACACATTGGGTGACTAAATATAACCAAGGGAAAGTTCTAAGGAAAGCAAGTGAGTGAGAGCCAAAAACTCTAATTCAAAATTCCACTTGAAAGAGGGAGAGTTTGGGAGAAAATCTGAGACACTACATTTTCCAGGCTCATTAAGTCAAAGGCAAATCCAAACGGCCCCTGAAAAATGCATCATAATGTCACTTTTTAAATTTTTAAAATATACTAAGAAGAAAATGAGTTTTTCGAGGAAACTTTGAGAGTTACCCTAGCTGATGGAAGTATATGGTACATGCCTCAATGTCGAATGAGACCCAAGCTTACTCCCTTTCCTCACAGCATCGCTGGAAATGGAAAGCTTATGTTTATTTCTTTATTTAAAAATTCTCCCTGTATCTGGGATAACTAAGACATTAAGTTCCTAGTATAAAGTGTGGTACTTAGCATAATTAATACAGTCTCTAAATGATCATGGAAATGAACTGGGATTCAGGTTGCCTATGGATATGATCTCTCTGGACACTTACAGCTACCCAAAGTTGCCTTTCTCTTCAAAATATCAAAAACAGATCTATATACTGCATCCACTTTCCAAAATTAAGACCTTGTCTTAAACACATATTTCCTGAGCACACTGGTCAATATTTTGATTAAACTAAACTAGTCGGAACTAGCTTGTTTTGCTCACATTTATGCCCTTGGTGCTGACTTACGGCATATGCCCAGCACAGAGCAAACAGACCTCAGCTACACCCTGAAAAAGAAACCATTCAGTTTGAAGGTTGGAAGTAACGGCAGAGCTAAGCAAAGCTTCAACTAAAGGAAGGTGTTCTGTGTGCTTGGAGCAGTAAGGACTCTGCTGGGAGGATGGGGATGTGTCCCTTGGAATTCAAGTCTCGAGGACTTCATCTTCCATGCCCTGGCACTGAAAGGCAAGGCCTCCTGAGGGCAAAAGCCATAATGAATAGATGAACTTCATTACAGAAAGAGCTCTTGGGACAGAGGTGGCTGTTTTGCTCTCTTGGCCCGGCCACCTTCTGCAGCGAGAACTTTCTCATAAAATGCTGGTATTTGATATAGACTTCTCAGCCTCTAGAATTTTGAGTCAATATATACACATTCATTATAAATTACCCTCTCTCGGGTAGTCTATGACAGCATCACCAAACAGACCAATAAAGATAGCCTATCATAGTCAGTGACAGCACATTGCATAGGCGGTGGTGGCGCACGCCTTTAACCCCAGCACTCGGGAGGCAGAGGCAGGCGGATCTCTGTGAGTTCAAGGCCAGCCTGGGCTACAGAGCGAGTTCCAGGACAACTGGGGTAACACAAAGAAACTCTGTTTCAGAAAAACCAAACCAAACCAAACAACAAACAAACGTAGCATATCATTATCTCAATGTCTTCTGCCTGTTATAGCTTTTACTAAAATGTCAGGCAAATAATTTGTAATTTGATATTTATTTCTCACCCCTTGCTTTTCCTTCAAGTGATACTTCTCCAAATGATAAAAATAAGGAACCAATGAACTGTTAGAGTAAAAAAAAAAAGAACAGAAGTTGATGCAATTATTTTGGAAGACAGAAAATTGTCCCCGGCCTGGGGTTTGGTGTGGAGTGCTAGCTTTGGCCTCTCACTCGGCCATTGCTAACCTGGCAAGGCCACTATTCACACTCCCTCAGCTGCAGGGTTTTAAATTAAAAAAAAATTAGATCTATAAAATAGAGATATTCTAGAGAAAGCTTACATGAATTAAATGATACCAGACAGTGCTTGGCTCTCCATATTGATCAAGTAATCAATGAATGAAGGGTGAGATTATCAACAATTAAACAATTTCAAAAGTGTCTTGATCAAAGCCAATCTAATTAATGTACTGACCATTTTTAAGTGCTTAACATGACAAATTTTTGAAATGGATTCTATTAAATGACTCAAAGATTGAAAAAAATTTTAGAAACAGAAAATAGGTTCGACTTTCTAGCTGAGTCTTCCCTAGGCAGAACTGATGACTGCATCTACTACAGACTCTGCTAGTTTGCTCCACATACCTATAGGGCAGGGGATCTAACCTGTCGAACTCCACTTTAAGAGCATCTTTATAGGATGTCTGAGTGGCATAAGTAAAGGACAGTAAAGATCCTAATAAACTCTAGGTTTCTGGATTGGGCAGCTGGACAATGATGGGCCTGTAGCCCATAAAGTGCAAGACCATGTTCTTTGGTGCCTTTTATTTTGTTATTTTCTTGAACAAAACTAAGATGACGGGGCCTCTATTGGAATCTATGGAATCCATCCTCAGAGGCCTCTCACCTTCGTCATTGACGTAGGCTGACCTTGGCTCACTTTCTCACTGTCATGTAACAATCCAGTGAGCATACACTGACAGCCTACAGTGCCTTGGACTCTATGCCGGTTGCTAGGAACATAGAGGTAAATAAGACATGCTGTTTACTTCTACCTTATATGTAGGAAAACTTTTCCAAGTAAAGTAGTTCCTACCAGTCTGTCAACAAGCATTAGAAGACGTCACAGAAGAAATTAGGATTCAGTGGAGAACTGGGAAGGAAGGGGTCGTTCTATTCTTGGTATGAGGAGATGCAGAATTGTAGAGTTCTTTACTGCTGGTTTTACTTTTCCTGGGGGAGACAGCTAGGTTGTTACAGTGAGATGAAGCTGAGCAAGCAGAGATGAGTGATCTGGGACCAAATGATCAAGGTTGAAAACAAGTACCAGAGGGAAAAAGAAGGGAGATGTCTAGGTAGAAGAAAAAGAATGATGAGCCATGCTGATAGAGGCTCTCAACATCCTTGAAAGGCACAGAGCTAAAGTATGTTTGTTAGCATCATCACTGAGATTTTCCACACAGCCTATGGGAACTCCACAATTAGACTATGGGTGTGTTTATCTAACATCCAGCAGGTTTAATACAGACAGGAGCAGACTATATTCTTTATTCCAAGAAAATACTCTAGTGGCCTGTGATACTTAGAATATAGGGTCTGTGTTCCAACTCACCATTGTGCCTGTTCTCTGGTACCACTTAAGCCAGCGCTTGAAAACGGAGTGGTTCTGTTCGCCTGCTCTTCAGTCCAAAGGAGCTGACTTGGGTCTAAGGCAGAGCCAGGCAGGGTAGGTCCATCACTGACCGGGACCATGGGAGTGTCCAAGGCAACAATGCCCTGATCCTCAAGCGGCAGAGGAAGGACGGGTGGGGAAGGCGGCGGTGCCACAGGAGGTGGAAGGACAGTAGCCTTGGCTTTGCCCGTGGCCTGCTCCTCAGCTCCAGCAACAGTCTCTTCTTGTTTGAGACTCTCTATCCCGGTGTCTGAGGGCTCTCCTTCAAGACCAGATGTGTCAGCAGTGGTGGTGTCTGAGGACAGTCGGGAGGCCGCCGGCTGCTTGCCAGTTTTCTTCTTGCCCCTTGCGGTCCCCACGACACCCGTTTTGCTAGCAACTGACTCCTTGGACACTTTGGGACGAGAGGAGGTGGAGGAGGCAGATGCTGAGGCAGATGCTTTGGAGCTGGCTGTTTTCTTCGGGTGAGAAGAACCAGCTAAAACAGAGAGGTTTTTGCATTAAAAATCAAAGAATGCAATACTCTTTAAGTGACCAAGTTGCATTTGCCAATGGTATTTGAAATGCTCCCTTTAAAATACATCGAATCAAGGAATGTTAAGAAAATTGGTCAATAATGATAATGGTCTTGTTTTCTGTCCCCTCCAGGTCTCTCATGTGAGAAGGAACAAGTGACATTCAAATAAAACTAAAGGGCAAGAAGCTCTCTCCTCCATCTTCACCATAAACAGCTAAACAGGACAGCGGCTCTTTGTCCTGAGCCATTCTTACAGACTCTGAAGAAGACACTTGGTCCTATGAAGGGGACAGTCACTACCGGCAAGCGGGCTGTAGGACACAAATGGGCACTTCACAATGACATTCTTTCCTTGTTTCTTTCTGGGGATGGAGAAGTGGCCCATATTCAGAAGAAGCAGGGTATATGCTGCCAGCCTCTTTCTGGGTCACAAGCAAATTAATGTATCCCACTACCTTCAAAGTGGTAAACTCCAAGGCAACTGTTCCCAAAGCTCCGGGGGAGGAAGTCTGTCCTGCTGGCCTATACTTCCACCTGCTGTAGTGAGGGGGAACAGAGAGGGGACAGTCACAGCAGAAAGCCACCCCTCCTCAAAACACCAAAATGCAAGGAAAGAAAATGGTTGCTGTGGTTAAAAAAAAGTATTTACATGGGTAGAATCTAAATAATCTGAAGAGGAAGAACATGACTCCTAGCACATGCACAAATGTGTGTATGCATGCGTGTCGATGTCTGTGTGGTTCCTCATGCGCATGCTCCTGAGACGGTCTTCCTGTGTCAGTTACTCAGTCTGGTTTTGAGCTCCTGGGCTCAAGTGATTCACTTGTTTCTACCTCCTGAGAAGCTGGGACCATGAGTGCACACCACTTCAACTTTGTCCCAGAATTTCCAATCCCAACCTCCTTGACTACCTAGTTATTTTTACTCTTTAAAGTTCCAGGCAGGTCTGCAAAGGGCAGCCAGAGCACCTTTGCTGACTTCTGGATAGAGCTGACATCAACTAAGTAATCTGCAGGAAAACAAGTTAGGTAGCCTTCCTTCCTTCCTTCCTTCCTTCCTTCCTTCCTTCCTTCCTTCCTTCCTTCCTTCCTTCCTCTTTCTTTCTTTCTTTCTTTCTTTCTTTCTTTCTTTCTTTCTTTCTTTCTTTCTTTCTTTCTTTCTTTCTTTCTTTCTTTCTCTCTCTCTCTCTCTCTCTCTCTCTCTCTCTCTCTCTCTCTCTCTTTTCTTTCTATTACATGCACATGTTTTAATTTCTCTTTATGTCACCCTAGGATATCCATTTAAAATCCTGCGTGAATACTCATTTGTTTCATGGCCTTTCTGATCCGTATTTTCTCCGAATATCTCTTCTATCATAGTGCTACATATTCTTACCTTCCTAAGAGGGCGCTAAAGCTTCCTTTTGACACAACTATCAATAAATGTCTTGTTAATACTCCAAGGCCATCCCATACAGCACACAGGTATCAGTGACTTACCTCTGGAGGCAACTTTATTGACGTCAATGAGAGAGTTGAAATGAAGCACAAACAGAGGAACAGACAATGAGACATATGATGTCATTAATTTTGACATGTAAAGAAGCTCGTCTTATTTAGTGATAAGCTTCGGGCTTACAAGGAGTCTCTGGTTAGGGTAATTACTCTTTTAGATACACACACTAGCTGGATTTCCCCTTTGCCAAACCTGGGCTTATCTATAGACTTAATGAACCGGATAATCTCTGATTACAAGTTAAACTCATTAACCATATTAAGAAAAATCTAACCCCACTCTAAATTGATTTTTTAAATAACAAAGACATGAAGGGTCTTGTGCTTAAACATGTCCAACTATTTTCCTAATTAATTTAAACAGATCTCTTCTTTATATCCATTCGAATAGTGCCAATTTTAACATTTTTGAAAATTTTCATTTTTTTTGGACAGAAAATATTTAGTGTCATCTCATTGTAAAGAAAAGTATCTTTTTTTCCAATGCCTGGAGTAAAAATTCAAGCCATATTCGAAAGGTTTGAAACCTAACACCCCAGCCTTTTGTTGATAATAAGTACATAAGGGGCAATGTATAATCTTTGCTTCTAAAGTCTCTTCTAACATGAGAGGGATTTGTTGAGAACAACCTTCTTTAAAAAAGAAATTTCATCTGAGTTAAAAATCACTGTTAATAGCAACAATGAGAAAGACAAAATCCTGGCAAAACCAATGATGTTATAGACTGACAGGTGGTTCAATGGGGCCTCTACACTCAGAGGAAAAAAAAATTAGGTGACGGTTGTTTTCAGAATGCAAGAAATGCAATGGAAAAATCAAGAGCCTCAATGCTGCCCCTGCTTCTCAGTGACAGTCCTAGAAGGCGGTCACATTCATTTATAGAAAGACCCCTGCGTCTTTTACATTAATACAACAGATGACAGTTCTCTAGTTTACCATCCTTTTAGGAACATCATAAGTATATATTTAATCTTCCAGAAAGTATACCTAGATAACTCAGATATGCCTTGAATGCTATGTCTAGTCTTTATCATCAGCTTTCTTCCCAGAATCTGAACCGAGTCTACAGTGAGCTCATGCCACCTAGAGAAGGAGCGAGGAAGGAAGTGTGTGCAACACAGGGTCTCAATTCCCAAGGGCAACGTGATGGTTTGGGAATTTTCCTTATTTAGAAGCTCAGTGTCTGTCTCATTTCACACACCACAGTAGGCTTTGTAAGGCCATGGGAGACATACAGACTCCACTATGAAAAGATACTGAGTCCCCAAGGCAGTGACCCTTAGGTACTGCTGGCTCATCATTCTGAGATAGTTTACTTTAGAGAGATTAGAAGAGGCCTGTGCACCACAGATCAAACCTCAGAAGAGGAACCTAGGGAGAGGTCTACTTCCACTCAGAGCTGTACATTGCCAATAAAACTGTTCTTTGAATTTCGGTATGACGAGTATAAATTACAAGAGGAAAAAGAACACCACCAAGGCAAATCCTTGTAGTTCATTTCTGGAAAGCCGCTGCCGATTTTAAGGGAAATAAGATTTGTTACAGTACAAAAGAATTTTTATGCACACATTAATGGGGAAAAGCCATTGAGCATGGGAATTTTGATTCATGTCCTTTTAAAAGTTAGATGACATAGGTGGGTGGCATCTTTATTCCATGAGAAGAATGGAATCTGCACTCTGCATTAAGCATGTAAGGTTGAAAAATATATGAAGTTGCAAACATCCACTCATGCATGATCTGTAATGACGGCGTGTAACTGCAACACACTGGGACACTTGGACCTGATGGTCTGGGGTGGGTGTGAGAGGGCAGCACTGAGCATGCAACTCTCAATCCATCAAAATAATGCTAAGTGGAGTAGGGAGTAGGGGGATGCTGCTGACAATGTATACGAGCCTTTCATCATTTACCAGAGGACAGACGACTATGGACATTGAAAAACTGAAGATATTATATCCAGCAAAAATGTCAAAGACCTGTGTCACATTTGTAACACCAAAGTCTAGGGGATTTTAAAAGAGGAAAACAAGCCGGCCATAATCTCTCATGGGCAGAAGGCCGAGATAGAGTTCATCAGGTCAGCCTCCCTCCCAGGCACACTAAAGGAGTGAGTCTTAGGTATTGATTGTGGAAACCAAGATTAGCAGTCCACAGTTACTCCAATGGTAACAAAGTTAACTTCTTTTGGTAGATAGCTACCAAGGGATTCTTGTGACTCACTGGTATCGCACCCCGAGACAACAAAGGACCACACTCCTAGAAGAAGCTACAGAGCCCACCCCAGAGCCCGACATCCTGGACTCTACGCCATTATGCACTAGGGCATACTCACCAGCCTCCCGGGGTGTGTTTCGGCTTGTCGGCTTGGGTGGAAGGGTAGGGGCCTGCTTACTGGGAGCCTTGACATTTTTTCTATTAGGAGGCACTTCATCGCCTTTGTGGCCAGCCCCAGCAGTGGCCCCTTTGGGAGGCACGGGAGATTTTTTGGGTTTAGGTTTGGGTTTGGGCTTAGGAGGAGCTGTAGGAGGTAGAGCAGGAGCAGCCGGTGTTTCAGAGTGGATTTCAGTGTTCTCTACAAATGAGAAAGTGAACAGAGCAGACTGATACAGACACACACCATAGAAAAGCAAGGAGCAAGACATGGCGACAGTGATACATACAGATGGCTTTATGACATTTTGGGAACCAGACAGGGTTTGCACCAGAGGAAGCAAAGTTTTGAGGCAAAACAAAAACTGAAAGACATACTTGGGAGAATTCTCAGGGTCCACCAGTCACTGCTTTCATAAAAGGGTGACACAAGTGAGTAGGATAAAATTACACCTAGGATCAGTGTCTATGTGCACTAGTCATCATCCTTATTCCAGCTTCCGCTCTGTTGTTGCTGGACGACAACATGGGTAATGAGTGCGAAATGCAACTCAATCGCCAACCCAATAAAAGTGAAGGACCCTCAAGAGTGATGGATGGATGTAGTACAGACACTGCCACGGGTGAAGCCGACAGCCGCAGTAACGACGGCACTTCCGGTTACGTTTAAAACTCACCCCCGATCTACCAGGAGTCTTAGTGTGGTCAAAATAATCATGTATGTTTTATACTCTGGGAGATTCTGGGGGCGGCTTGTGACACAATGCACTTGGCAGTCACTTTCTATCATCAGAGTGTTGTTGTTGTTTCCCCAGCGGGGCAGGGCAGCTTCAAATTCTACAGTGACTTCTTCCACCCTTCCAATCAGAGCCACAGCTTTAGGTTCACGAAGGGCAGAATAAAAAAAAAATTCACTTAGCCTTACAGTGTACCCTTCCATAATAGTTTCGAAAAGACAAAGCACCAATTTCATAGAAAGAAATTGTATATAAGAAGAGAAGACCCCAAGAGAGCTGGAGGAGAAGCAAGCATTGCTCTGGGGATGCTGACAGTTGATTATGTACCCATGTCTGTATTATTTGCAATAGTGGCTGAAATAAATTAAAATACGGTTCCAGCCCAAAGCACTAAGTGGTATCTCTTTTAATATTCAGCACAATAAAAACTAAAGTCGATGTCAACACTAATCAGCCCTTACTGAATAGATCTTTCCATGTTTGAGTGACCAAGAAAGCCATGGCATATGTAATATGCCATTACCATTTTTTCTGCTTTGTTTGTTTCTTTCTTTTTTTTTTTTTTGGTTTTTCAAGACAGGGTTTCTCTGTGTAGCTTTGCGCCTTTCCTGGAACTCACTCTGTAGCCCAGGCTGGCCTCGAACTCACAGAGATCCGCCTGGCTCTGCCTCCCGAGTGCTGGGATTAAAGGCGTGCGCCACCACCGCCCGGCTTCTGCTTTGTTTCTTATTCTGGTCACCAGTAAGTGAGGATGCTCCCCCTCCTTAAGCCCCATCCTCTGTCAATCAAACCATGTGTCTAGCTGAAATAGTGATTTCAGTTACAGAAGCTAATCAATAAAACCTTTATGTTTTAAAGTTCCCCTTTGTCCTTGCCCTAACCATGACCTTCACCAAGTACAGCTGTCCAAATCGGCCTCTTCTGTCTCTGCCTGTATCCAGCCTTACAGCTCAAGCCACTTCGCATCTATGAGGGTCAACTTTGTAACTCTGCCTTTCTGGTCATGTTAGGTCTTATCCTTCAACAGGCTGTGCTTTCTGCAACCCACCTGGTACGAGTCAGGGGTCCAGGTGGCCTGAGAACCCCACTAGAATTGAGAAGGATGCAAGGAGACACACAGCTAAACACCCGAACTTCTTGAATGATACTAAGCACAGTCTTGACACAGGGGAGAAGTGTATTATATTTTATCTATGGTGTGTTTGTATGTATATCTAGTGTATGTATGTGAGTGCACATATGTGCACATATGTATAGAGAGACCAGAGGCCAACGTCAGGAGTCTGCTCAATCGTTCTCCACCTTTTAAGATATGGTCTCCCGTTTAATCCAGAGCTCACATATTGGCCAGAGCAGCTGGCTAGCAAGGTCCAGGGATCCTCCTGTCTTTGCATATCCCCCACCTCATGCTAGAGTCACAGATGTGCAATATCACACCAGGTTTGATGTGGGTCCTGGGGGTCCTAATTCAGGTCCTCTTTTTTTGTATAACAGGTAACTTATCCACTGAGCCATACCTCTATCCCCTGAGTCTACTCTTTAAACACATCTCTGTGACTTTAGTTTCTATCACATGACCTTGCATGGAGATCAAGCCCAGTCCACTGGAGAGTGTGGATTGGCATATTTGGGGTCTTGATTTTTTTTCCCAATATTATAAGCCCAGTGGGACATTTTGGGTCTTTCTGCTAAAGTTGCAGAGCACGTCGTTTAGCCTATGTGAGACCCCCAGTTCAACCCCTAGCATAAATAAAATAAATAAAATGACTCCAAAACAGTCCAACTTTGGGCTTGGAGGGAAAAGGTAGGTTTACTCACTGACAGTTGAAACTGCCAATTACTACCAGGGGTGGATACTCCACACACAAACCCTAGCAGTTTTTTGGAAACCATGGAGCATTCCTCTTTAGCCTCCCAACTCTACCATGAGAGCGCTCTGTAAATGCCTACCACACTAGTGAACCCTAAGATGTATGCATGTTCACGTGACTATACAAAGAGTATGTTTTTCTAACTAGATTAAAATTGCCTTCTACCTGAAAATTTGTATCTAATCAAGTACAATGCCTTAAAAGTCATGTCTGTTCAATGAATGTGACTGGCTGATAGTACTGACAATCAGTAAACACTCTTTACTTATATGCGGGTGGTAATGAATTAGGTTATATTTTTGCCTGTGAACATATGATTCAAAAGCTTTGTACAAACTGATGGTGGAGTAATGGAACACTGTCCTTTTAAGGGGATGTTATGAGAGAGCTGTCTGTTCATTCTGGCTTTGGAAGGACATGAGGCCTCACAACAGCAGTCTGGGAAACAAGCTGTCCACTCCACTTCCAGGCTTGGCTCTCTATGCAAAGGGCTGAGGTCAACCGTTAGGGCAATCCAGGACCACATGTGTCCTGCACCTGGTCTGGGATGCATTTCGGTTCCGATTCCTCTCGTCTACCTGCCTGTCTCCTTTCTGTCTCCCCTAGGACTTGGTTTGGACAGATGCTGCACAGAGAAACAGCTCTGGTCTCCACTGAGTGTTCCCTGGCTTTGATACCGTGGCCTGCTCAGAACTCTGCATTCCATGACGACTGCCTGTGAGCCACCTGTGTTCTCTTAGGGGGGTCTACTTTTGGACAGAGGCCCCTATTCATTCTCTTGGTGGCCTCTGCTAGAGTTTTGCTCATGCTAGTCTTTCAGGACTGTTCGTGAAACAACCAAGTGTCAAGCACTGTTCCTTCACTAAAGGCCTTTCACAATCACGCCATGGAAACAATGTAGAACAATTTCAGATTGCATGTTGTTATACTGGAACAGACTGCAGATCACAGTTTGTGTCTCATATATCTAAGGACATCTACTGAGAAAGAATAATAGGAGTCCAAGAGCCTAGAAGACCTTGAAGAAGAAGTTCAGTGTTGCCATAAAAGGCCCAAGGTCACTATACCAACTGCAGAATCAGGATCCTTCAAAACCCCGGAAATACCCACATAGCCTGAACCGAAGCCATCCACAGATCCAGGGTGGTGGATGGCACCTGACATGCACTTTGCTTTTGACTATTTTCTTTGACAGAGGCAAAAGTGAATCAGGCTGGTTTTTTAGATTAGAAAGTGTAGGACTAAAGAAATTCATGCTTTTATTGATAAGCAATTTCTATTTAACCTAATTCTCTGTGATATTACTCATGAGTGACAATCTTTTGAGCTTCAGAAAATGGCTTCCCTTCTTAATATCTCTCTTGGTTGGTGGCCACCGCTCCACATGGGCTCTGTCCACACAGAGGGAGCTACAGCAGCCGCATCATGACATACCAACACTCTTGTCATCTCCATCTCCTCATGTACTGATGCTATCATGTAACTTCCTTGCCTAGAAAGAACTAAACGTCCCAATTTGAGGGATAAGAAAACAAACTCTCTCTCAGCCGTTTGCTGACCTAGAAGGTCTGCCATCTTTTCCGTAGAACACCAAGACCTGCCCGTTTAACTAACGTAAACCTGTCAGCAACGCGTTCTCATGCTGATAAGGAAGTACTTCCTTTTAAGTCTGGCCAGTCACTGAGTGGAATGACACCCACAGGGACTAGGGACAAAGGACAGATGGACATGAAGTTTAATGGTTTGTTGAGACAGGAGAGTTGGTATGAGAGAAAATAAAAACAGGTACCGGTCCCCTTCCCAACCAAACTCACTCTTTGGAACGGGATCTCTTTAAAATCTGTCTGCTCTCTCATTTTGTTTCCAAAACATCATTAAAAGTACAAGCTAATCTCTTATTATCAGTGTTAATAAACTTAACTAGAGGCTTTCACTGGGAGCAATTAAAGAAAGTCCCATACATACTTCGTTTAATATCTGAGGACAGCAAATTAATAAATTTCAATAGCTTACTGAAGCTTTTGAAGGCTCATTACTGTATGTGCAAATGATTACAGCATTTCAGTTTTCTGAAGATGACTTCACATTAACAGGTTAACTTAATAAAGGCCCCCCTTTCCCTCTTGTCTGCAGGAGGATTTGGATCAAGAGAAGAAATTCACTTAAAGGAACTTCTAAGAGTTCTCAAAATATCTACACAATCCAAGAGAGATTGACAAATGTTACCAACCAACCAACTCAGAGACAAACCTTATAGAAAACAGGAAATATACTATTTCCTGAAGATCTCTTCCTATGCACATGGCAAAATCTATTCAGAATTGTTTTGGCTAAACTTTTCCCTATAGGATATCAGCTCAAGGTTTACATAAGTATAAGGCTTGCATGGTGGATCCACTGTTAGGTATTCATGAACATTCTGGGGGACCCCAATAGACAGGTATTTACAGTATCTGACTCTGAGCACACTCTAGAAACCAAAGACTTTAGAGAACCCTTTGTGGGAATAGTTTAATTGCTTCTGACATATTGTGAAACTTCCAAACTCATCGGTAGATCACAGAGCAAGTGGCATGGAAACCACAGCTCTTTATGGAACTCCTCCTTGGTGTAGCTTGGAAATGTCTAGAACTTAGAATAATGGGGTGGACGGATGCATCAGCTACTTCCTGCTGTCAGAGAGGGAGTCTAGGCTGAGAGACGCATGGCCCCTTGTTGAGCAGCTCCCATGGCCCAGCTACAGGTGAAAACAATTTTACGACTGCTTGTGTTTTTCACCTTGAGGGAAAGCTTTTAAGAACAGGAGATCATTTCCAGGTGAATATAATGCCTGAAGGGTCCAGTCCTTATGATCAGTACCATTAATTAGCTCTCCTTATTAACACAAAAGCAGACGGCGTAGTTATAAACAGACGTGTCCACCTGAGGAGGCCATGCTGCCTCTCTTTCCTGGCCTCCTTTCCTCTCTTCTCCCAATCTGCCAGCCTCCTCTCTGCAGGCTCCTGGTTTTACTCAATGCTGGGCTGCTCTACAGGAGATAATACAGGATTCTCTTTATTTTACCTTTCTTATCTTCTGCCTTTTCCTCCCGAGGTGGTATTTTCTCACACACAGAGTCATTCCCTTCTTCGGGTTTCCCTACATTCTCCTCTTGGGAAGATTCCTCTCCGATGTGTATCATGTGCCCGTTTGAATTTTCAAAGTTAACTGTTACATCTCCATCTAAAATTGGAAAGAAATACCTCGATGTCTAACTTGATGGCTTTCTTTAAAAATTATTTTCCCATTTACTAGGACTGCAGGATCTGGGTTCCTGTTTCTGTCCCTGGGAACCAAATCACCATCTTTTCCCAACAAATTTCTTTATAAGGAAAGAGGTAGAAAGTCTTTGGTTTCAAGGGAAAGCAACAATGGAGGGGGAGTCCTGTTCCATTTCACGACATCAGGTGTGGCCACCCTAATCACACAGACCAGCAGAGTTCCTCTGTCCTTGTGTTTAGGTTTTGTTGAAGTAAACACTTAAGTGTTTGTTTTGCATCCAGAAACTGAATGAAGGGATGATCTGGAAAATGGAACAAACATTGTAACATGTCAAAACCACAATGTGAATGCAATATACAAATAACATGAAATGCACTTACACATACAGACAATAAGTGGTAGGAAGGAAGATTTCCAGGCACCAGCATCTGCTCAGTATGTTAGAGAGTGTCTACACTCTACACAGCAGTGTAACTGTGAGCATGTTAGATAATGTCTACACTCTACACAGCAGTGTAACTGTGAGCATGTTAGACGATGTCTACACTCTACACAGCAGTGTAACTGTGAGCATGTTAGACAGTGTCTACACTCTACACAGCAGTGTGACTGTGAGCATGTTAGTGTCTACACTCTACACAGCTGTGTAACTGTGAGCATGTTAGACGATGATGTCCACACTCTACACAGCAGTGTAACTGTGAGCATGTTAGACGATGATGTCTACACTCTAAAAAGCAGTGTAACTGTGAGCATGTTAGACGATGATGTCTACACTCTACACAGCAGTGTGACTGTGAGCATGTTAGTGTCTACACTCTACACAGCTGTGTAACTGTGAGCATGTTAGACAGTGTCTACACTCTACATAGCAGTGTGACTGTGAGCATGTTAGACGATGATGTCTACACTCTACACAGCAGTGTGACTGTGAGCATGTTAGACGATGTCTACACTCTACACAGCAGTGTGACTGTGAGTATGTTAGATGATGATGTCCACTCTACACAGCAGTGTGACTGTGAGCATGTTAGACAGTGTCTACACTCTACACAGCAGTGTAACTGTGAGCATGTTAGACGATGTCTACACTCTACACAGCAGTGTAAATGTGAGCATGTTAGACGATGTCTACACTCTACACAGCAGTGTAACTGTGAGCATGTTAGACGATGTCTACACTCTACACAGCAGTGTAACTGTGAGCATGTTAGACGATGATGTCCACACTCTACACAGCAGTGTAACTGTGAGCATGTTAGACGATGATGTCCACACTCTACACAGCAATTAACTGTTACCATTGTCCAGGGAAAAGATGATCTTAAGGCTGATTTGATTTTTTTTAAATTTTCTTTGTTATGGGAAGAAAATTATAGCTAAAGAATATACATTAAAAAGCTGGTTAAAAGAGAATTTTTAAAATGTACTGCTTAAAGTGGAATTCCTCACATATTCTAAACCATAACGACTAATTTTATCTCCTGGACTGTTGTAAGTCCTGAAAGTGTTTAAAATTCAAGGGATTTGCAGAAGTCACTGGTGCTTGGAAGGATTATCCCAGTAATTATTCCCATACATAGAAACATGTAAGAGGCTCTGCTACCACCACAAGGGAAAATTAAGGAACCAAAGTTTTGATTTAAACTATTTTGAAGAAATTTATTAGCAGAGTTGTTTCTATGCAGTTTTTAAAATTAATTTCTTGGCAATCATTACAAAATCGAGATCATAGCCAGGCAGTGGTGGTGTATGCCTTTAATCCCAGCACTTAGGAGGCAGAGACAGGTAGATCTCTAAGTTTGAGGCAAGCCTGGTCTACAGAATGAGTTCCAGGACAGCTAGAGCTGCATAGAAAAACCCTGTCTTGAAAAATAAATTATTTCTCAAATTTTCACTGATTTCCTTCATAAAATTCACAGGCCTTCTTGTCAAAAAAAAAAAGACCACAACATTTCCATAGATAAAATAAATAAGGAATTTTGCCATGTTGAAAATGAAAATGGAATGGTCACTCAATCACGTAGTCCCTAAGGCCCTATATTCTGATTCCTATAGAAAAGTAAAACAGACAGTAACAGAAGACAATGCCATTACAAATGAACCTTCACAATTTCAATAGTATTAGGTAAAACTTACGGGACTTGAGCAATTAGTTTTTTAAAAAAAAGGAAAAAGGAACATACAATACACTGATAAAATAAAAGCAATATAAAATGGACAGTTCCAAACAAAACAGAAAAAGAATCCCACTTCTTTATATATAAATCTTTACTTTTAAATGAATTCAAATAAAGGTTTTATTTGGAATTTCTGATTATCGTTAGTAGAGTCCTAAAGTCATGTCAACAATAATTTAATGCAATTTTAAGTGATCATATTTTTATCAGGTTAAATAACTTATTTTTAAAGCACTAGAAAAGAACAACTATAGAAAAACTTGAATATTATCATAATAGTATGCATGGCAGAAAAACAGTCATGTGGAAAGGTGCTTACACTGAGTCATGAAATAAAAATAATGCATATAAGAGTAATGTCAGAAAAAAGACCATTTGTAGGAAATATTCATATTTCATGAAACCTACTAAAGATACTAAAGTGAGTGGCATCTATACTTTGAAAGCTTTCCTAGAAATCTCAACCCCTGATATAGGAAGCTATGCAAGCAAAATATAAGCCCAGAAAGAGAAGATGGTGCTGAGCCAGGCCTAGGCTGTAGGGACAGGTGACAAACATTGGAAAAGTGTGACTGCAAAGTAAGGGAAACTCACAAAATGATGTTCAGCTCGAAGTAAAAGTAGAGGAACCATAACATGGAGAAGGTCACATGTGACCAAAAAAAAAAAAAGTGATTCTTCAGGAGGGGGAACCGCACTAGAATATATGGAAAGCAGATGTCAGGCAAGCAGGTAAGACCCTGGTGTGCCCTCATGTTACAGACTTGAGAAAAGATGGAGGCAAGGAAGTCAATAGGGACTGACATGGAATGGAGCATTTGTGAGGGCTTTTCAGGAGGGAAGACCATTTGGTGAACTTTTAGATTGAAGTTCAGCTTGGTGTGAAAAACCAATGTGAAAGGAATAATAATCATAGCCGAGACAGAGGTTACAGGACAGGGTGGGGTGAAGTCACAGCCATAGCAGCTGAAGGGACTTAAAAGGTCTACGTGGTCCACGCGATGAAACTCATGACTGGCATGCCCTGTCAAGAGCTTCAGCAATGTCAAGAAGACAGAGGCCACAAGTGCATCCTCATTGATGGAGAGAGGCTGTCACAAAACAACAGCAATATCCGGTCGCTCACACAGGGATTCTCAGGATAATTGTTCTGGGGAAGATGACGGCTAAAATGAAAAAATAGAAAACTATGTTCTCTAGCACTTGACTGAAAACTGGGAGATCTCTGAGGGGCATCGTTGGACACTTTCAGCCATTAGTAATTCTGGTGTTTTAGATGAGAACCGTGCCAAAGTAACAAAGTTAAATTCAACCAGCGAGCAGTCTCCCCTGACACTTCTGAATTAGGGAACACATCTGGCCTGTAAGCTCTACCATCAATCTCAATAACAGGTTTCAATCATAATCTCTCCCTTTTCTTTTTAATGAGATTTTATTTTTATTTTTAATTATGTGCATATGTGTATGTGTCAACATGCAGGTATGTGCACATGCATGCAGGTCCCTCAGAAACCAGAATTTCCCGCAGATGGAGTTACAGGCAGGTGTGAGCCTTTAATGTGAGTGCTGGGAACTAAATTCCCATCTTCTGCAAGAGCAGAAAGTACTTTTAATTGATGAGTAATCCTTCCAGCTCCTCTTTCTTTCTTTAAAACATTTTCATATAAGGGACACAGAACAAATGCATGGGTCACTCCACAAAGCTGATTGTATGGGTTCAGCTTCAGTTTCTCTGCTGCTTCCAGAGACTGGTGGGAGATGGACCTGGATACTGCATGCCTACCTCCTGCATACCTATCTCCTATTAGGAAGGGGAAATGTGAGCATTTTTCATTTTTAAAGCTCTAAGGCAGGAAAACAAATAACTTCAAGGAAATAGCACATTGAAAAATACAAAAAGGTCATTAACAAAGATGAGTGGGGAAAACTTGACAAATCAGAAATGGAAAGACAATTTCTAAAATTGTGATGGTTTCCTCAACCAAAATGGTATTATTCCATCCAGGTTTCCCTCACTCCTTCTGAAGCAGCCATACATTTCCTAGTTGCACATTGGGATTATTCTAGTATTGGAAAAAACATGACATTTCAACTAATACACAATGTATGCCCCAAAATGTTACATTCTTTATAAGGAACATATATGATATGTATCTATCTATCTATCTATCTATCTATCTATCTATCTATCTAAGCATCATTATTTAAATTACAAATCCATAGCATTTTATTTCTTCCCATAAAGTCTCAATAATAATACATTACCCCAGTAAACTTGGGGGAATGAAGGAGAAGAATGAGATAAATCATTAGTATGGTAGCAAAATGTCCTTTAGTTTTAATGGTAGTGGGAGCAAAGAAAATAATATGGAATTATTTACTGGGTGAAATAACCTGTGTTGGTGTCTTCTTTGAGAGTCAGTCTTAATTTCTACATAATACTTGTCTTTTCTTTTTTTTTTTTTTTTTTAAAGATTTATTTATTCATTATGTATACAGAAGAGGGCGCCAGATCTCATTACAGATGGTTGTGAGCCACCATGTGGTTGCTGGGAATTGAACTCAGGACCTCTGGAAGAACAGTCAGTGTTCTTAACCTCTGAGCTATCTCTCCAGCCCAATACTTGTCTTTTCTAATCAACTTCCCTCCTTCAGAGGATAGAGGTAACAGGGAAGAAAGGAAAGAGAAAACCAAACCAAACCAAACCAAACCAAAAAACTCTTGGAGAGATTTATAAGTAACAAGGTGAGAGGCAACAAGACTCAGAGAAACAAATAAGGAACAGATTACTTGGGAGGAAGCCTAAGGCAAATTAAGCTGTCCACTCATGCTTTATTGGTCTGTGAACATGAATGAATACATTAGACAATGTGAGGGACATGACACAAAGCTCTGCCATCTTTTATTGGCAGTGTTTAGGATCAAGTAAGGCAAGGACAAACTCAAACTGAACTCACTCAAACAATCGACTTTAGCTTGATTAGAAGAGTGAGGCAGAGGAGGGGAGGAGCCAGGCAAGCATCTTGACCTGTATCTCTAGCTACCAACGCAACAACCTGAAGAGCACGGAGTTTAAAGCAACCTACGGAGAGGAGAAGGATTGACTGGAGACGTCACCAGCTGGACGTCTTTTCCAGAACACCTCAGCTTCTTGGCCACCCACAGAGACATTCCAGGTGGGAGCAAGATTCCTGGTGTGCACTACTAGCTACTTTATCTGACAATGACCATGGTAACTTTAAATTCCAAAAGAAAATGAAAGAGCAAAGAGCATAGAATCCAATTCGTTTAAAGGTAAGACGAATTTCCTCACCTTGGTCAGGCAATTCTTTAAGCAGGCCCCTTCTTATCAGCTCCTCTCTACTTTGTCTGGTGGATATCTTCCTCTCTAATACTTTTAAAAAGAATAAGCACAAGTAAGAATTAAATGATTACTTAGCACCATTATGAACAATATTCAAAGTACTTAAGCACATTTATTCTGTCCCCATGAAGGCTCAAAGCCCCATTTGTTTTTATGTCCACCAAGAACACTTGTCTAGAGTCCAGTTAGCACAGTGAGGACACAAGCAGTCCATGCATGACTGAGACCCAACCATTGTACCTGGCCAAGATGATCATGTCTGAAAAGGAATCCCCGTACTTTTAAACTGCATTCCGGCTATGGAGCACAGAGGCCACTTAGCATTTTTTTTTCCTTTGATAATGATGCTTTCTGAATCACATGCTGACAGAGGCATTTGCAGTAAGGTATTCAAGTGCGCGACTGGAGATAGTCATGTGAAGTGATCTCACCTCTGTATTTTTTGCATATATGATTTCCTGGATTCTATACATATGCATAGACCATGTGTTTATATATGACACTGACCATCATAGATAAACACATGGTCTATGCATACACACACACACACACACACACACACACATATGGTGTATATGTATAGAGGTGAGGCTGTCCAAGGGAAAAGGGGGATTTATGGGAAGAGGGACTGGAGAAAGGAGATGGTAGAGGGCATGAGACGAATATACTTCAAATACAATATAGACTTGTGTGACAATATCCGTATACAACACCGTACCACGTACAATAAATATACACAGCCGGGCGGTGGTGGCACATGCCTTTAATCCCAGCACTCGGCAGGCAGAGCCAGGGGGATCTCTGTGAGTTCAAGGCCAGCCTGGTCTACAGAGCGAGGTCCAGGACAGACACCAAAACTACACAGGGAAACCCCGTCTCAAAAAACCAAAAAAAAAAAAAAATACACACAATAAAAAGAGAAGAATAAAAGTACAAATGCTGAAAATCCGACAATTGTGTGGACTCTCAGAAGATTTAATGTTAGTTCTTTTCAAAAGCCTTTAAAATTACATCAATTGATCAATCATTAACCTGTTGAGTGCAAATGTGCATATACCCCTACACATGCCATGGGTGTACATGCAGAGGTGGGGGGACAATTCTGGGAGTCAGTTTCACCATATACGTCCCAGAAATTCAATTCAGATCATCCTGTGTGGTGGCAGGTGTCTTTACCTGCTAAGCCATCTCACCTAAATTAGTTCTTTTTTATTAATTAAAATTTAATTTTTATTTTATTTATGTTCACAGATGTTTTGTTTGCACATATATCTGTGCATTATATGCATTCATGGTGCCCAAGGAGCCAGAAGAAGGTGTTGGATCCCCTGGGACTGCAGTTATAGACAGTTGTAAGTTACCGTGTGGGTATGGGGAATTGGAACCTGGGTCCTCTGGAAAACAGTAATGCTCTCAACCACTGAGACATCTCTCCAGCACCCCTAAATAAGTTCTTAATGCCAAAAATTCTAAACCACAAACAAACACAACACGAAACCAAAAGCCCCAAATGAGAAACAACCCACAAAGTTCCTGTCAACATTTCATCTGAATGCCCGTGAGAAGGGAGAGCGTTCAGTGTTTTGTTTGTTTGTTTGGTTTCTGTTTCCCCGCCCCCCTTTCACACCATCAACTCAAAAGTTCTACACAATGTAACTCTTTGTTTCTCCAGTCATACACTCTAGAGGTTCTGGAATGTCCCTTAACAAACCTTAAGGAGGATGGAGTAGGGAAATAAGAATGGGCGGCTTTGGGGCCAAGTCAAGGGAAGGGAAGCTCTACATGGATTCTTTCTTCTTCTGGAAGGAATCGGTACTCCTGATGGAACTCAGGATGGACTTTCGGAGCCAAGGCAGGACCTCAGTGGCACTGAGCCTGCATATCTGAATCCTAGTATGCTACTAGCTTCCCTTCCCACTTGAGGGCCCAGGAGGTGGAGGAGGATGAACGAACAGGAGGCATTGAGCTTGGTTGAGTACACAAACGTCTTCTACAAGCGTCTACTAAAGGCAAGAGCTCCCAGAATAGCAGCACTTAGCCTCTTTTGAAGAAACTGGATTTTCCCCTTTTGTGAGAACTAGGAATTGTGCGTCGCTTTTTTTTTTTTTTTAAATATATCCTGGTTACTAGAAAAGTCGGAGTGAAACTTGATACTGAACACAAACCTCAAGGGACATTTCACATTTTCTCCTTTCTGTGAACCTGAACTCAGTTTCATTCTATGCACAGTATATATGCTCTTTGTTGTAAACTGTAAGATGTGCTTCTGGAATCGGGATATAAACAAAGAAGAAAATGAATGAGTGAGTGAATGGTTAAAAAAAAAAAGAAAAAGAAAAAGGATACCAATGACCCCTTATGGTTTTAGTGGAGACACACCTTCCTTCCCTCTTCCAGCCCTGTTCACCGCTATCTCTTCTAGCAACTAGTATCCACAGCTCACAGAAACATTGGCGACTTCAGTGAACGAAGTTAACTGCGTGTGACACAGATGAGTTCTTCTCTGAGAGTTCATTAAAGAGATTAAAGAGTGATGTTGCTTAAGGGCAGTGTCGTGTGTTTAGACTCTCATCAAGAGAGAGAACAGAAATCCAAAGGCTAGCACCCCAAGGCCGCAGCAACTACGAGGTCCCAGGTTCTTCACCATTAAGCCACGCTAACTTGCTGCCAATCCAGAATGCAGTCGCTTGTACTGCCTTCCTGACCCACACCCACCCCTTTCCCTGTCATGAAACAGAACTTTTCAGTGACTACCACGTCTGTTACGTTGCCTTAAATGTCACATGATTTTCAGGAGTCCTGGGTGCTGGTCCCAGAACACCAGCAAGTCAAATGATGTTGGGCGGCCTTCATCAAGTTTTTGTGCTTCTAAACTGTGATCTATAAAATGAGGGACAAGACTCAGTAGTCATGAAATCAAATACTGTGGGATTCTGTGTCAGTAATGAAGGCCACTCTAAAATCTCTGCTTTATATACCTTTAAAACCTTTCATTCTTCACTAAAAATTTTCTTTCTTCATCTGAGGGACTAGAACATAACTCGCTCACACTTCTGCTTCTACTGCGGATTCCAGTCCACTCTTTAGTCTGAGTTTTGAGTTTTTCTTGGTTTAATTCTAACTTAAACTTTGGCTTAAACAAATCTCCCTTTTTCATCCTTGTGTGTACCCAACATTCTTCCCATTTCTTCCTGTGAATTCCGAGAAGCTCTGTGCCGGCTCCTACCAGCAATCCAAATCAACAGTTCTGTTCTTTTTCTCTACCTCATAAATGGGCACTGATAGGAAAATACCATTAGCTGTTTGCTTGGTCTTTGGCTGAGAGCATTTTTAACACATAATGTAGATAACTGTGTGAGGGCCAGTGTGGACAAACTGCAGGCTGCTGGGTATGGAAGGTATGTTGTTGGGCACAAAATTCCAACCCCGCTCTCCCTGAAGTACAAGAATCTTATTCTTCACCTTTTAAAATATTTGCCTTGTGTTTATACAGTGTCTGTGTGTTTGCGGAGCAGGTTCACTGGACGCTTTTCATGGGCTCTGAGGGGTTTTGCATTGGAACGAACTGGAGAGGTCATTTTAGTTCAACATGCCACATAGGACAGGAGCATCATGGGAATGTTCTTGATGCTTGCTCACCTGCTTTTCAACATTCAGAGGCAAAAATATATGCTTCTTAGGCCTACCTCAACTTTCCAAGAGCCTTATTTTTAAGGAGAAATTTCCCAGGCAGCCCCCAGATCTCTCTCCCTGTGACTTCTGCACGTGAATCAAACCCAGTTGTCAGGAGCAACTGAGATCACTGAAGTTGCCTGGGGTCTGGTTCCCAGTACCACACCAGCGACTCTGTGATTGAAGATCACACTAATCTATACCAGAAATTAAATGTATGTGTATAGGGGTTGTTATGGCCCACGGCTATACCATAACCGCAATATCGTGAGGAGACAAGGGGCACAGGTCATTGGATACAGCTCCTAAGTCTGTCCTTAAAAAGCACTATTACTAGTTAAGTGAAAGAATGGGCCATGAATGTTCTCTTTTATCCTGATTGCTAAAGTACAAGCAATTCATATGGCAAGATCAAACAAATACGTGATTTCTGTGTCACTTTCTGCACTGGGTGAATTAGTATTTTGACATTTCAATCCCGATTACAACAGCACACCTTCTAATTCTCTCTAGCAAGTGAAAGAAGCAGTGCTCGTGGTTTTCCTGACTTCACAGTTCTACTCTATTTTCGAGTATTTTAAAAGGATCACTCTTTCAAAACACCCAATGGCTGCTCACCTCTCCGGAGAATATCTCAGTTCCCTAGCATGGGTCTCTACAGCAACCCTGGGAATGTCCTTTCTCCCATCCAACTACTCTTTCCTGGCTCTTGGATATAAATCTCCACACGTGATGCTTCTCCCCAGAGACTGCTCCCCAGAGCAGCCTGTCTTCATCAGGGTACCACTCCTCAGGACAACATTCCCCAGCTTGGTGCACTCCATCATGGCCTTCCTGTTCTGATCAAGGGCCATCTCACCACACGCCCCTAGCGAATAGCTTGCCCCTTCTCATCCCCTTTCCTCAGTCATCTCCTCAAACACCAAACTTCGTTGTTCTCGATGCTATGTCCCCAACAGTGACACACTGGTTACCGTCACTCAAAATACATGTACGGTCTGTTGAAAACAGGATTTAAGAGAAGACAGCCTTGTCCTGGTACTAGTCTTGTCTTCTGTCCCTTTTTATTTTCCAGTTGAGGAGAAAGCAAGTGAGGTTCACTGCAGAGCCTCAAGGAACAAGGGTGTTCTGTCTCCTCTCGCCTCTATGCTCTGGCTAAAGGGGGAAAAGTTTCCACTTTCGTCCTATGGATCGTGTGAAAAAGGCTCTGTATGAAGCAAAGAAGGAAGGCCACAGTGTGTGCACAGACACGGGCAGCTAGCAGGGTGTAGCGCCGGACTGGTCGGGCTCCTCATAAATTATAAATGATTTATGATGTCCTTCTGGGCACGGAGTGACAGCCATGGAGCCCACATTCA